GAGGTGCACACGTACTGCATATGTGCTGGGCATGGGAGGAGGAGGAAGGAAGGAAGGTGAATGAGGAGGAATAAGGAGGAGGAGAAGAGAAGGGAGAAGTAGGAATTGTTCTTTAACGCTGCTTTAGGCATATCGGAGGATAATTTATGCAGCCCTGGTGGATTACATCGGTGTGTAAGTGTGCCCGGCACATAGACTGAATATTGTGAACAACTTTTTTGGAGGCTTCTCATGCCTCTTTTACAGTCAGCCACGCATTTCTGAATTTGGTCGGCATATTTCGTCCTTTAAGATATCAATATCAAGAGATGATGCATCGGTGGGGGGTCAGCAGAGGTTGTTTTTCTACCGTAGGTAATGTGACTGTGGTCCGATGAGACGGACGGCACTGCTGCCCGAAGCAAAGCTCGGGCAACAGCGGACCGTCTCAAAGGTCATCTATGATTCATCTAAATGAACTGCTGGCACGTTATCAAAGTCATTAATCTTCCGCTGGCTGCAGATGAAATCATCCCAATCTAAGATGTCCAAGCAGATGAATTTCCTAATACACGGAATTCATGCCACGCCATCTCGTAAAGGCCCCAAAGCTCATTGAAAGATTTTTGACTAAATCGTTAGCCTGTAATGTCTAATGTTGACTGACAGCCGACTGTCCACAGAATATGACTCAGTTAAACAGCTTCAACACTTTCTTATTTTTCATCTCTGAATCACCTACGTATCTGTCTGTCGTCCTGAACCAATGCCATACGGAAGCCAAGTATCCGAACGGAGAATAGAATGACACCCTCACTTTGGCTCGCAATGGAAATAGGACTTTTATGAAAGCGTTATTTCCATTGCATGGTTGCTGAGGCGACTTTGATTTGAGCTATTTAACATTTTTGCATTTTCCATAGAAAATATCTTTAGGTCTGACCTCACTCGAAAATGGATACTCCGACCGGCAGGAAAAATAGAACAGCGGTATTTGTCGTCAGAATCCATGCAACTATGGATACACGAATCCGTGCTAGGGGCGAGGCTCAATAGTTGTCACGATGACGCAAAAGAGCGAATGCAGGGTCGGATTTCGCGGCAGCACCAACCCCATAGGCGCACCCGTCCCCGAAAGCTGGTGCGGATATAAAAACGCCTGCCTTTTGACTCTCTTGTAGGAGATACCCTGTTGGGTACCCCCGAAATCACCGATGACATCAAAGTCAAGTGACTCTCAATAACACTGTTGTCTACGGTGCCTTGACAATCTCTACCGACGTCTGGCAGCATACCACAACACGCAGTGGATCCTCATTCAAATATAAATAAGAAGGTGGTGACAGCCACGAGACAACTTACTGCGGTTACTGTTTCGAGTTTGCCCCTGGAGTAAAGCTAACAAGGTTCCCCCAGGATCTGCCACACCCCTGGTCTTTCTCGCACCCCCATCCCCCCCCCCCCCCCACCTCTGTCCGTCGGACCGGTCCAGGGCTGTGTGGCTGGGACCGAAGCCAGAGACAACACGGCATCCGTCGCCGGATATTATTAGCGGCCCGGGCCCTTCGGCGCCCCCGACGGTCCCGGCTCGGTCCTGCCGCCGTAGCGGTGTGCAGAGCAACCGGCCATCGTGCGATGAGGCCGTTCGTCAGGTCGTTAATGGCCAGGTCGCGATGTCGAAAATCAGCGAATGTCGAGGTCACGATGGCGAAGGCCAGCGCGCGGGGGGGGGGGGGGTCAGTGGAAGCGTGACGAGATGGCAGAGATGGCAGAGCGAGTGAGACAATCCGCTCCACCGCCGGGAGCAAGAGCCGCTCTTGACGAGGTGGCAGAGATGGCACAGCGAGTAAGACAGTCTGCTCCGCCGCCGGGAGCAAGAGCGACACTTGAGGTGGTAGAGATGGCAGAGCGAGGTAAAACAGTCTGCTCCAACACCGAGGGTAAGAAAGAGTCGCACAGTCGTGTCGGATCGGACCAGGCATCTAAGCTCCGCGGTCAAAACCCTCGAAAGCTCAAAGCCCTCGATATTTCCCATAGCACCATCGGACTTCCGGTCGCTTGCAAACGGGAAAGACAAGATGGTTGGGCGTTCTATCGGTGGTAAAAAGCACTGGCACCTGCGCGATCTGACAGTGACGAAAACAATCCGATCAACTTGCTCAGCTCGTGTTATCAAAACTGAGCAGGCAGGGATGCTTGTATAAAACAGGAGACTATATTGAAAAGTGAATGGCGTCAGATAGGAACAGGCTCTAGGGTGAAATGGCCACCCATTTAAAACTGTAGCTGGAAGTTATAAACACGCGAAAGGGGGGGGGGGGAGGGTCAACCGGTTGCCGACTCAAAGCTGCCGAAGACAGTGATGCGCTGTTGAAGATAATTTAAGCTCTAAAAAGATAAATAGCTATGGTTTGAAAATAAGGGACTCACAGGCGACTTCAATTTCACGAACGACACCCGCAGAAGCATAGGCGCATGGCTAAATGTTGTTGGTTACACGATGCAAATTTAGCCGTGGATTAACTGGATTAACCGTGCGTAACAATATATTCGCCACAGAATACACACCTTAGCTTTAAAACGCTAAACGGATTAACACAGAGAGAAACTCTGAAACGTTTAGGCGTTTTGGTTTGCCGCCACCACACGTACCACATTTTAACTTTCACCCATGAACAGATAATCAGGAGCGTGCCTGTCATCACTCCAACGGCGGCGCGCGAAACAATGCGTCAACACAACTGAACATAAAGCAAAAGTTGTGACACTCCCTGCTAAGATGTCGGAACGGCACATTGCTGCTCGTTGAAATTTATTTCTTTTTTCATTGATGCAGTTGACTGTTGCGATCGTTAACATTGCAATCGCTCCTCACAGCGGTGCGTTGGGGACGCCAAATGTTTAACATCCAACGCGAGTAATGAAGCCCGAAGCTTGTCACTCATGTCCTCCCCCCCCCCCCCCTACCACTACCTCAGCACTCACATTCCAGCGGTGACAACTGTCTCACGACGGGTGGAACTTGCTGATCCTCTCGTCTTAAACATGTTGTCCCCTGCCCTGCAAGAGCGCCCATGAGCCAGCCCTTACGGTTCGTTTTGTCCGGAGTAAGTTCCGAATCGTTTTGAGCACAGGCCTGATATTTCGAGTAGCTAAGTTTATACCATTTTTACACATGTCGTGAAAGTTTGAAGTTTTTTACTGTGACGGTTGATGATCTGTTATCTCCTTGTCGAGGTATGTCGCTAACTGTGCTTAAAGTGACAAATAACGCTTGTCACGCCGTCTAAAATACATCACTGTATCATACCTTTACGGAATACCGTACGTGTCTTAACGCTTTAGAAGTATTATTGAACGTCGTTTTCTCCATTGATATGACTTGTTTAGTTCTTGATAAAGCCGTTCGGGTTAATACAACAAAGACATTAATCCCTTTGACCTGACATGGCACATTATGGAACAAATTTGTGCAATGTTCAGAAGTACCCATCTGATAGAGATATCCATCGCCATCTTCCGTGATATCGTTGCGTCCTTTGAACTTCAAGATAACATCAGGGGTCTATAAAATGTTAATTATATCGCCACGGTCTGATTTTACCTGCCAAATATTGCATTTCCCAATGTTTAGATCCATCTTTCTGTTGCGTACAAGCATATTACCAGCACCTTAGATAATTTTGGCATTGAACTAGCCTTTCATTATGGTATGTAGCGGCCAATTCATATCATGCAGAACACATAGACGATACTTGCTGCAGCGCTTCGACATATACCAAACATCGCCAATCGATACTTTCCTTGTTTAAGTTCTCGTGATATCTCGCAATTATCTGCGCAGATAGCAATTGGCTGATATGGCCTTTCGCACTCCATCCTTGTGAATGCTTCACCAAAGTTGTGCTACTGCGTGACATTATACTTAGATGAGGGTCAGCAAATGCTGTAAAAAGGCAAAATCGAGCAAGGCAGAATGACAAATAATTCCTTTTAGATACCTTTTCCAATGGAGTCAAACCAAACGCTCCTGATTAGGAAGCTAGACTTTCTGCGCTTACATGCTGTGCACGCACTGCCGTATTCAGCAATGGCCGATACAATAATCGCAGTTAGGGCAGCCTCGCTGGAGACAGAAGACCTGACCCCACGCCCATGTTAACTGTCTAAAATGTGTCATACAAAATCGGGTTCTCAACGTCTCGTAAACTAAGCAATTTTAAACCATAGCTTGTCACACTTTTCAATCCGTTGGGAAGTGAAAACACAGTTATATTCAATACACGTACGTACCTGTACAGTTACCTTTAATAAGCACCTGAAAATGTTACGCGTTGTGGCAAAAATTTGGGAGTAAACTACGGCTGCATCGAACAGGCTCACCCTGATCGCTTATGATCACCCGTTAAACATGTCGGTAAGCCTGCGTTCGTCAACTACGGCTTGCAAGGAAGGTTAGTGTGTCGACACATGTTTTGTACACCTAACTGCAAGCATAAACTTGGCTGGCTACATGCATTGGTATATATAAATGAGAAATAATAGAATATAAATATAAAATACAAAATTAAAATTGAATGAAAAGCAGGCAATAAATAAACAAAACGGGAAGGCAGCACACGCTGGGAGTTGAACGCCGCAGCATCACAAATGAAAACGATTCTCTGTCAACATTGCTTCAAGCATAGCAGTCTCTCAGCAATTGTGTGTGGGAACTACCGCATGCATGCTATCTTGCCTACGTTCTCTACCGAAACGTTCACACTGTTGGCGCAGCAATACACCGCTGTTGCTGACTGTTGGCGCAGCGATACACAGCTGTTATTGACTGTCGGCGCAACGATACACCGCTGTTGCTGACTGTCGGCGCAACGATACACCGCTGTTGCTGACTGTTGGCGCAGCGATACACCGCTGTTGCTGACTGTTGGCGCAGCGATACACAGCTGTTATTGACTGTCGGCGCAACGATACGCAGCTGTTGCAGACTGTTGCTGACTATTTCCTTGTCCTTGTTGCAGGAGAGGGCACTCTTCCATCCCGAAGCTGCAGTTCTAGTCGTACAGGACACGTCTGTGTCTTTTTTGTCTGCTCGTTAGACTCTATCCGCAGCCATGGTGATCGAAAAGAAATACAAGCCGGATGAGGAGCCCGACCCAGAGCCGTACCTGTGAGTATGCTAGCCCCAGCCTTAGCCGTACTTATGAGCATGCTAGCCCCAGCCTTAGCCGTACCTGTGAGCGTGCTAGCCCTAGCCCTAGCCGTAATTATGAGCATGCTAGCCCTAGCCCTGACCTTAGCCTGGGCTATAGCCTTAGCCGAGGCTTAGCCTTAGCCCTGGCCATACCTGTGAATATGCTAGCCCCAGCCTGAGCCCTACCTGTGAGTATGCTAGCCCTAGCCTTAGCCCTACCTGTGAGTACGCTAGCCCTAGCCTTAGCCGTGCCTGTGAGTATGCTATTCCTATCCTTAGCAGTGCCTGTGAGTATGCTAACCCTAGCCTTAGCCGTACATGTGAGTACGTTAGCCTTAGCCTCAGCCGTGCCTGTGAGTATGCTAGCCCTAGCCTTAGCCGTACATGTGAGTATGTTAGCCTTAGCCTCAGCCGTGCCTGTGAGTATGCTAGCCCTAGCGTTAGCCGCACCTGTGAATATGCTAGCCCTAGCCTAGCCGTGTCCTAGCGACTCATCCGTAGACAAACTTGCGGGCACTCCGTCGCCTCGCATGTAAAGTACTCTACTTTTACGTGCCTGTAGTTGGCCGATTTACGTGATCTGGGAGCCGCGAGCATGACTCCCCGATGAGGAAAACCATAGAACCAACGTCTGAGCATCGCCATATCCTGAGAATCATTTCTGCCAGTGCCACGGCAACCAACTCGCAGTGTTGTGCACTGTTCTTTCAAAGGATTTTCTTTTCAGAACATGATTCATACAGCGCCGGAATGTTGTATGTTCGCACGGAAGTAACACATCAGTGCTCCCAATTTTAAGCATAGTTTTGCGAGGTACATTGACCTAGAGAATCGCAATCCAAAATATGGTGCTCGGAATATCATTCCCAGCGTGGTGCACCGTGGTAATTTATGCGTGCACTCAAGTCACAGCTGTTGTCGCGTACACCCTGGTTACCCTTCGTCCACGTCGTCGGTCAGGTTCGTGTCTCTGGAGCAGAAGAGAATAGACCAGACCAAGCCGTACGACTCGAAAACGGCATGCTGGGTACCGGACGAGAAAGAGGGCTACGTCCAGGGCAAGATCTTGGACGCGTCCGGCGACAAGACCAAGGTCCAGCTGCCCAGCTTTGAGGTTAGTCAGCCGCCGCAGTCGGGGTCAGCATGTACGTGACGTCATTGTACCACGGAAAGGATGGCAGATGAGTGGAATTGACGTCAGTGCTTTGTGCATTGAAAGAAGTTATTTTTAGCGTCACGCGGGTTTTGCAATGCGGGTTCGCCTGGTTGCAACTTGCCTTGGTTTGCTTTGTGATGCTTGGTCGGCTGACCCGTTTGAAGTCTGCACATCATACTTGCATTGGTATCGTCCCAAACTCAGTCCAACCACCGTTAAGTCTTAGAGGTTGCCAGTGACGTGCGAAGGATTTTTAAGAAGAATTTACAGAGTTAGAACCAAAGTTAGAACTAGAGTGAGAACCAGAGATTATGCAGGCATAGCGATAGTTGCACTTTTTAGATTACACAAAACATAGAGATCGTTGTCTATAGTTCTCAGCTGTTGCATGTGGGATTATGCGGCAGACAGACATGATCAGACAGCGCACAGACGGTCAGGATATCTGTACATAGTTTAAACATCGGACAATTCGTGCCCACAGGAGAAAGAGTTCAAGAAGGACCAGGTCACCCAGGTGAACCCGCCCAAGTACGAGAAGTGCGAGGACATGTCCAACTTGACCTACCTCAACGATGCCTCCGTTCTGTACAACCTGAAGCAGCGCTACTACAACAAGCTCATCTACGTGAGTGAAAGCGAGGGGGGCGGCGAAAACATCCAGGCTGCCCGTGTCGTCACAGCATTAACTGCTTCGCAAGCTCCCGAAAACTTTGTTTCCTTTTCAGCGCAAGTAAATTCAGCGTATAGGTTTGTGCCTTGCGATACTTGGATTCTGTCTAGTACAACCAGCCATAAAAGCAAAGGAATCAGACTTTGAAGATGCGTTCTGCTATAACGATTTATGTTGGTCTAAGTAGGCATCGTCGTCATGCGGAGCTTCGAAGTTTCAGCTTACTCTAGGTAGCACTCTTATCTAGCCGAACATTGGAACCAATCCAGTTTTCGAAATGATTATCAGTTTGTTACCGGCCAGCATCCATTAATCGAAAAGGCCCTGATCACTAACCTTGGCTTTCAGCTGCAACCTTTCAATGCTTGTTCAACGAACGTTGCGCTGTGGCAGGGTTTACACTGATATCTCGATGACCCATACGACTCTGACCTGACTGGTGACCCAAGATCTCTGACCCGGCAGACCTACTCGGGTCTGTTCTGCGTGGCCATCAACCCGTACAAGCGCTTCCCGATCTACACCTTGCGCGCCATCAAGATCTACCTGGGCAGACGGCGCAACGAGGTTCCGCCCCACATCTTCGCCCTCTCGGACGGCGCCTACTCCGACATGATGGCCAGTGAGTGGTGCTTCCCTCCGTGACTCTCTCTCTCTCTCTCTCTCTCTCTCTCTCTCTCTCTCTCTCTCTCTCTCTCTCTTTCCCTCTCTGTCTCACTCACTCACTCACTCACTCACTCACTCACTCACTCACTCACTCTCTCTCTCTCTCTCATCGCTCTCTCTTTCCCTCCCTCTCTCTCTGCTCTCTCTCTTTTTGTGTGTGTGTGTGTGCTGTGTCTCTCTCTCTCTCTCTCTCTCTCTCTCTCTCTCTCTCTCTCTCTCTCTCTCTCTCTCTCTCTCTCTCTCTCTCTCTCTCTCTCTCCATCCCTCTCTCAATCATTCCATGTCCTCATCCCCATGGACACAAAACATTTGCATTTTTTTTGTTTCATAACCAGCCTGGCCTAGAACAGTGTCCCCTCCTCTCCCCAGCTCCTCCACCCCTCGGAGGGCTAGCCGGCCCGTCCCCACCTTGGCCTGGAAGCGGGTCGTTGGTGCCAAATGCCGGCTAAATTAGGCGCCAGTCGGCGCCGCCAAGCGCGGGATGGGCGCTTGCTCGGCCGGCGCGCGCTCGGGGCGCAACTTTGGCGCGCCGTAACGCGATACTCTCAGACCTGAGCGCTGAAAGCGCTGAGGCGTTTGTTATGGAGAAGTCATGAGGATGTGGTCTTCATTCGGAAAAGTGCAGGGAGTGGCAACGACGGTACGCGGTTTGGGCGCGCCGTACACAATGCTTCCAAGCCTCAGCACTGAAAGCAATAGACGGTCTACGAATGTGTTGTGAGAGTATCCGTATCATTTTACATTACGCCATTGATGTGTGGAGATACCTCGGTTAGACATCGCGTTGTTTCATGGCTGGCATATTGCTTCGGTGCATACCTGGTCAGTACCACCTTGCATGATATGTCAGATACTATGTGCTGTAATGAAAAATTGGTAGAGCAAAGTTGGTTGACAGTGTTGTATCTGAATCACGTAGCTCGCTTCATGGGATAGTGTTCGGTATAATTCAAAACTTCTTCCCCGTCTTTCAGATGGCCAGAACCAGTCGATTCTCATCACGTAAGTAAAAGCTCTCACCAGGACGCCAGATCATATCATTCATCACTTGCGTTCGTTTAATCTCCATGTTTGAACACTACGATAGTTACCCGGGCCACAGCGAAGTCTGTCAATTTAAAAAAGTACATGTTCCGTTCTAAGAAAATTTATTGCTCAATCAAATATCGAAAAACACTGGTCAGATTTCTCGGTGCTGCACAGAAGGCCAAAATCAATTTTACCCATTAGCCCGCAGGCTAAAATGCGCACGATCATTTGGAACAAGTGAGGCACTTCTCATACAGCGTTCACGCTCAGGGCCTCTAACACAATCGTAAGTTTGCCCGCACTTCCTCAGCGGCGAGTCTGGCGCCGGCAAGACTGAGAACACCAAGAAAGTCATCACGTACTTCGCCCAGGTCGGCGCCTCCGGCAAGAAGAAGCCGGAGGACTCCAACAAAGTGAGTGGCGGGGTGTCGGAAATGTGTCGGGTGCACGGTGTGGTGGCATACCCATCTGCCTTTGGGCAGACGCGCAAGACGGGACGGCCATCCCGAATTAATACGCCACAGGGCTCTTCTATAATGACATTGTCAATAGCTTTGCGACACACACCCGGCTCAGATTCGTCACTAAAGGAGGTCCAGCTCGATCTCAATGATATGAACCAGCAGAACTGAATGCAAGTCGTCTTTCACCATTGCTCTCCCACCTCGTAAGTGACGATCGTAATTTTGCGCGTCGGCGGTATGTATCCATCAAGCCTGATTATGACTACCAAGTCCTCTGAGGTGGGATGGGGGTCTGAACGTCAAAATTAGGCACGCCTGTGGAAAAACGCGGCCGTTTCCGTGACCGGCTGTCACGTGGTCACGTGACCTCCCTGACCAGTCGCAGGTGATGGCGCAGATCAGGCAGGTCTGGAGAACGGCAACCTCCAAACACGTCACCAGGCTTCCACAGCCTAGGCGCAAAGTGACACTGGAGGACGAGGCACCCACAGCCTAGGCGCAAAGTGACACTGGAGGACGAGGCACCCACAGCCTAGGCGCAAAGTGACACTGGAGGACGAGGCACCCACAGCCTAGGCGCAAAGTGACACTGGAGGACGAGGCACCCACAGCTAGGCGCAAAGTGACACTGGAGGACGAGGCACCCACAGCCTAGGCGCAAAGTGACACCGGAGGACGAGGCACCCACAGCCTAGGCGCAAAGTGACACTGGAGGACGAGGCACCCACAGCCTAGGCGCAAAGTGACACTGGAGGACGAGGCACCCACAGCCTAGGCGCAAAGTTACACTGGAGGACGAGGCACCCACGGCCTAGGCGCAAAGTGACACTGGAGGACGAGGCACCCACAGCCTAGGCGCAAAGTTACACTGGAGGACGAGGCACCCACGGCCTAGGCGCAAAGTGACACTGAAGGACGAGGCACCCACAGCCTAGGCGCAAAGTTACACTGGAGGACGGGGCACCCACAGCCTAGGCGCAAAGTGACACTGGAGGACGAGGCACCCACAGCCTAGGCGCAAAGTGACACTGGAGGACGAGGCACCCACGGCCTAGACGCAAAGTGACACTGGAGGACGAGGCACCCACAGCCTAGGCGCAAAGTTACACTGGAGGACGAGGCACCCACGGCCTAGGCGCAAAGTGACACTGGAGGACGAGGCACCCACAGCCTAGGCGCAAAGTTACACTGGAGGACGGGGCACCCACAGCCTAGGCGCAAAGTGACACTGGAGGACGAGGCACCCACAGCCTAGGCGCAAAGTGACACTGGAGGACGAGGCACCCACAGCCTAGGCGCAAAGTGACACTGGAGGACGAGGCACCCACGGCCTAGACGCAAGTGACACTGGAGGACGAGGCACCCACGGTCACGGCAATCACCGTCCTGTTGCAGGGCACGCTGGAGGACCAGGTCGTCCAGACCAACCCGGTGCTGGAGGCGTTCGGCAACGCAAGACGACGCGTAACGACAACAGCTCCCGCTTCGTGAGTCGATGGAGGGAGAGGCGAGAGATGTGTGCGGGCTGTGGAAATTGTGCAGTGGGCCAATCATGGGACGAAGGCCAAGTGCCCGATTAAAGGGATAGAAGTGGACGGCAAAGCAGAGTAGTGTGCGGGATGTCCTTAGTTCGCCGGATCGCTCCTGTGGCGGCAGGTGTCTGCGTTTTCACATGCGTGCATATCACTCCGCAACAGGCTCAATTCCTCTCTATTTCAAGACAGAATTTTTGAGTTGTCATAAAACCTGACAATGTGGGATTTTCCGTGACAGTTCTCAACGTGATCTAGTAATTTCTGCGGCTAAAGTAGCGTTTATTTCCTACATATTTGGCAGCATCGCTTCTTTCGGCGCCGGGACAGTTGGTGCGACTTCCCCGAAACTCATTCAAATAATACCATGTCAAAAACGCTGCACCGCACAATCCCCGTGGTGTAACCGTGCCTCACCGCGTGTCCCCTTGTCCCTCCCCCCCCCCTCCGCCGCGACCTCATCTATGACCCCGCCCCACAGGGCAAGTTCATCCGCATTCACTTCGGCCCGCTGGGCAAGCTGGCAGGAGCCGACATCGAGACATACCTGCTGGAGAAGGCTCGCGTCATATCGCAGGGCGCCCTGGAGCGATCCTACCACATCTTCTACCAGATCATGTCCGGCGCCATCTCCGGCCTGATCGGTGAGACGGCGGTCCGGCTGATGCGCCTGATGCTGGGATTCGACCGTAAAATGCAGAATGTCGAGATGTTTGATTCATGAGCACGCGGTTGTGGTTCATATAAATCAGGGTCGTCGTTGCTCTCTTTCAGAGCGCATGAGCCTGGTCAACGACATCTACGCCTACCACTACGTGTCTCAGGGCAAGACTACCGTCAATGGCGTCGACGACAACGAAGAGATGGAAGCCACCGATGTAAGCACTTAGTATTCTGGGTAGGAGGCCACCGATGTAGGCACTTGACATTCTGGGTACAGATTTGGAGGGCACTTTTTGGGGGTTGGCAGTGAAAATTAGTTCTCTATTTAAGTTCCGACACGCCTTAGAACCCTTAGATACATGGCTTTTATAATTGCAATGTTCCTCTCGGTTTCGTGCTATCAACCGTTTTACCCATTAAGCGGGTACACTTGGGAACGACCTTAATGATATACCGGGATGAGACACACCTGCCGGGCAGTGGTTTCCAATCATGAATCACCTACTGCGCAATTTTTCAACGCACCTCCTCATACTTTTAGTGCTATCAACATGTGAATAAACGTGTACGCACATCATGCTTCAGTGTTTAGCCTTTCACGTCGATTTGTCTGAAAACTACTTGGAAGAAAGATGTGTGCTGTAGTTTTGTAGTAGTAAGTTTAGTAGTAAGTAAGTAAGTAGTAAGTAAGTAAGTAAGTAAGTAGTCGTAGTAGAAGTAGTTTGTAGTAGTAAACACCCACTTTCTACTGCGATGACGGGCTTGATGACTGCATCTCACTCGGCGTCCGCGCTTGCAGCAAGCGTTCGACGTGCTGAACTTCAGCCAGGCGGAGAAGGACGACATTTACTCCATCGTCGGCGCCGTCATGGTCAGCGGAGAGATGAAGTTCAAGCAGAAGGGTCGCGAGGAGCAGGCCGAGGCGGACGGCACCGCGGTGGGTTCTCCCCGGGCGTGCAATTGTTTGTCCTCCTAGACACAGATTAACGTCAGACAAACGCGCGCTGGGTTATGCCCCACTGACACTATACCACTGATCTACCTCCGCCGGGGACGGCCCGACCTGTCGATTTTACCTGCTATCTGACATCATGAAATCATCTGAGGCTGGAAATCCTCATGTTGTCGCTCGGCATGGGGACGTGAATTTACGAACAGATTAACCTAATAACCTGTCCCAACGATAGGTGACCTGACCAGAGCCAGCACGTCTCCATGATACGGACATAGGTTGCGACCGGAAAGAAAGCAGCGACAGGCTGGTTACTCGTCAGCTCCAAACTGCACTACAGCAGCTTTCAGCAGGGTCAGCTGCACCACCATGGGGAGCAGTTACTCGCACCAGCGCATGGTGACATTTCATTCGGTACAAGGTCCAGCCGATGATGCCGGAAAGTCACGAGCCAGAAGCCTGTCAACTCGTCGTGACCCGTTTATCTGGTGTCATTTCCTGGCTTCAACAGCTGGTCTCACCTGACCCCGTTTGCAGGAGGGTGACACCATGGGCAAGCTGCTGGGTATCGATGGGCCCGAGCTTTACAAGAACCTGCTCAAGCCCCGCATCAAGGTCGGCAACGAGTTCGTGACCCAGGGTCGCAACAAAGACCAGGTCGGTGGCAGTGGCCGTTTTCGCGCAGAATTCTTTCTGTAATGCCCTGCGCAGAAATGCCGGAAAAGCCCAAGGCAGGAGCCAAGCAGAGTTCATAAGCGCACTTGTCATAGATGTTCAAAGCATATCATTTCACGTTTGGTTCGTGCAGTCTATGTAACAGCTTACAACGTAGTGGTTTTCATTTCAGGTATGTAAGTGGAGCACCTCTATACAGTATAATGAACCACACCGTTAAGTGACGTTTTGGATTGCATACTTCGTTACCTTCCGGCGGTTACAGTTAAGCCTTCCCTTCGTTTTGAGCTGTAAGACATGCGATGATTTTACGAAACGTAGAAATGTGGACAATTCTCCGCGGAAAGGGCGATATCGTTTTTCTGGTGTTCTGGACACAAGAACTGTTAGCGGAAGAGAAGGGTTGTCTCACACCATCTCCGCCCTGTCCAGGTGTACTACTCGGTGGGCGCCCTGGCCAAGGGCATGTACGATCGTCTCTTCAAGTGGCTGGTGAAGAAGGTGAACATGACGCTGGACACCAAGCAGAAGCGGGCCTCCTTCATCGGTGTGCTTGACATCTTCGGCTTCGAGATCTTCGATGTGAGTGCTCGTTCGGGTCAATATGGCGATGCGGTCTGATTCAGCGCGTCGTTTTGGGGTACTCCCGCTACATATAATGGTTGCATGTTTTCTATTGGTTTATCAGAGAATATCTCCCGACTGAACACGCCATATGAGCATGCCCAGACAGTAAAGCAGGGAATACGATCAAGGCACGCTTCCCGCAGAACAAAACTTCGGTTTGGCGATCATTTTCTTGCACCTTTGCGATCGTCCACGTACTTCGCATCGCGACCCTCACCCTGCATCCCCTTCGGGAGAACACTTTGTGCTGTGACATATCTGCCTATATCGACACCCATAAAGTGCTTTTGCATATTCAGCATCAGATATTTTCCCAAAACCTGATTTGTTGTGTGTTGTTTCATGAACAATCGCGGTGTATCAAGGGCAGGTCTTCATGTTTGATGCTACCCTGCATCATGCCCTCCAGCTTTCGTTCCAACTTGATTTCCCTCACCATCACGATGTCCAAGCCATCTGACATGGTTTCCTTTCGCGTTCTGACGATGTACAACTATTGTCTAAAGCCAAAATAGCCTTCCACAGCGTGCGGATGCCGTCATCAATGCAGCGTCATCGTCATCATTCAAATGACCTCATTATTTTGACAGGAGCAGAGCAGCCTGCAGACCTGTGTAGTCCAATTGCGGCGCGATGGCTATCTTTTCAGCATGGAAGTCGCAAGAAAGCTACTTTGGTTATGAATGCTTTGCACCCAGCAATGTTTTTGGTTTTAGTTCAACGGCTTCGAACAGCTTTGCATCAACTTCACCAACGAGAAGCTGCAGCAGTTCTTTAACCACCACATGTTTGTACTTGAGCAAGAAGAGTACAAGCGGGAGGAGATCGATTGGGTGTTCATGGACTTCGGCATGGACTTGCAAGCTTGTATCGATCTCATGGAGAAGGTAATGGCGAGGACAGGGTCACCAGTTGCCACGTCGGGTTCGCTCCGACTGATCTATGTCTAGCGCTACTCACAAATGTCGCATGTTCTTTGACAGAACGCTGCTGACGACCCTGGGCATGCCTTCAGCCTGCATATCATAACTTGGGGTCTAATGTCTGTTTTGTCGTAGCTGGTCGACTAACAAGGCAGGTCGGAACAGACAACATAACCAGAAGTCCAAGTACCAGGTGGATACTGGCGACAATCCTCTTTTTTTTGGTCCGCGCCAGGTGTCGTGGTAGGCACTGGTGGATGCTGGCGACCATCTTAGATTTCATGGGTCGGCGACAGGAGACGTCATGTTTCGTTCTCCCGCGATGCATTTTACATCGTCTGGGAGTGACGCACAAGCGGTATGGGAAGAACTCGAGAAGGGGCAGAGAACATGCGCCTCGGCCTCAGATCTTCAGAGATCAGATCAGATCGGATCAGATCAGATCAGATCAGAGATCGCTGCCGCACAGGACTCGGGCCGTGTTTCCCTCCACCGCTGATCTGGTCGGACGGCTCAGGCGGACGAACGGCGAAGGACACCTCTTTGTCCACAGCTTGGCTTCCGTCGCTTCATGTCTGATACATCATCGCTCACCCTACTGGACGTGACGCACGAAACATACGCTAACCAACGTGTTTTTGCAGCCTAGAATGTGCAGCGGTGTTTTGGGCGGGTCTGTTGTCACTGCTGTGCTTTTACTGACCTGGTGACTGACGGTTATGACTAACATATCTGTTGTAGTACAACGGCTTTGAGCAACTTTGCATCAACTTCACCAACGAGAAGCTGCAGCAGTTCTTTAACCACCACATGTTCGTGCTTGAGCAAGAAGAGTACAAGCGGGAGGAGATCAACTGGGTGTTTATGGACTTCGGCATGGACTTGCAAGCCTGTATCGATCTTATGGAGAAGGTAAAATTGCCCCCGATCTCCACTTTCTCGCCACTTTACCGACTGGCTCTGTTTGTCGCCCGCACTCTTCGCCCTCCCCTGCCACGTACAATAAGCCAAGACCACCAAAAATGCTGAGAGGGTTGCGGACAACGCACCGCCCTTGCAGTGTTTGCCCACTCCAACTGACTTTTAATCGTGATGAATGACAACCACCAATCCAGAAAATAAGCACTCGTCTTGTTCCCTCACTCCATGGTCTCTGATGTCTGGAGTTTCCTGCTACGTAAACCAGAATGCTTCCCCGTTACACCTCAGTGACGATTTCGGCAGTGAGCTGGTTGTACAGAGAGGCAAACATTCCTGCCGCGAATTCTACGTAATTACGCCTGCTTTTTTAAGGCATATTTTGGGCTTCGTTTTATCTCGATTTGTAGGTATGCATTCAATGCCGTTTGTCTACACGCAAAATCCCTCTCCGTGACATAGGTAACTCCATAGTGTTACGAGAGTCAGCGCGTATGTTTCGAATCTTCAGTTCTTGATGTAAGAAAGAAGTTAAGCTCCTGTTTTTTAGCCGAGTATTTTTCAGTGTGCCTTAGAACCATACCTTTGAACCTCTGCCAATCAGTATTCACAATATAACCAAGAGACGCCTCAAAACGTCATTTAACCAATCCCTCCCGACATATTGAAGGAAAATCGGTAGCTGTTAGCATAAGAGCTCTCATCTCATTATATCCAGCAGGCCACTAGTTTCATCAAATATGGCATACTGATGATAGAAAATCATGCTGATATTTATGCTTCTTAAAATGGTAGCATTTGTAAAAAATAAGGATGATAATGATAGGGCACGGAAAGGTATTGCTTGATCCCGAACATTTGTTCTGTTCAGAAGCATGTTGTTATCGCAGCTGTGATAGCTGAAGAATCTAGTCGCCAGAGCCAGCATTAAAAATTGCGAAAAACACACACTGGTTTTGGATTACCCAAAGCTATTTGCGGGTCAAGTCAGCAATGTCTGCAAACGCCGCAGAGGTGCCAGTCTGAAACACAGCAGCACAGTGGCGACCGCCGGTGTCGCCATGTAGAGTGGGTGGCTTGCTCAAGATTTGCCGAACCAACATGCCTTCGACTCGGGAAGAACAGACCTTTCGATGACCTTCGCTGCGCCTGGCGCCTGACGTGACAGGGAGTTAGGTGATCGGAGAAATTTGCACGAGTGGAAGTTGGCAGTCCGGCCACTGGCGTCAGCGAAAGCTGCCGAAGAACGACGGGCCATTTATGAGTTACGAGGAATTTTGAGCCTGAGACAGCCCGACGTCACGTTCTGCCCGATGCTTGTGTGCCCCCCCCCCCCCCCCCCACCGCTCCCCTCTGCATTGCCCCCCCCCCCCTCCCCTAGTATGTTTCGTCGTGTGTTTCCCCCTCTCTCTCTGCATTATGCCCCGTGCCCTGGAACCGTCTACGACTTGGGTGTGTTCACCAATGCATCGTACCTGTCCCGACCGGCGTTGATATACCCCGAGCATGAGTCGCTGATCGACGTCTTCACAGGTTCGAGATTTGGCGTTTGACCTGCGCCCTGCTCGCATTGAATGCTGCCCCGTCCCATGTTGCGTTACCCATATCCCGACTTCGCATGTTTTTCCCGTGCCCATCGCGAGTGATCACAGCAAAGCCCAAGGAGATATCTATGACGTATTTTTGGCACTATGCCAATTCCAACGGCCTATGCTCGTTTGTGCTTTGCCGTTGCTCCTCGAGTATAGGCTGTTCTCGTGTGAGTATCGGTTAGCCCATACCGTTGGCGAAAAAAGAGGCCCGTTTCGTGAACCCACACCTGCAAGTGAACCTGTTAGTTTGGCCCGGAGTGACTGCGCATCCCCAGGAGACCCGCTCTGTTCCAGCGTGACCCAGGTGTGAGCTGCATGTCCTGAGCAGGCCCGAGACCCAGCCCCCCCCCCCACCCCCCACCCACCACCACCACGCTTTGCATTCCCTCCATATCTGGATCGATTCCGACCCCTGATCGACTCACTCTGTCGGCTACCCGCAGAGCCTGCACGCATGCCATCTGTCGGCGACCGCTGTCACTGACAGTGCGAGCCCTCTCCGCCAGCACGCTCCGGCCGAAAGGTCACGCATCGTCCGGCGTCGGCGCTCGACAAAGGTCCCCCGGCAGACACGGACGAACCCTGCTCCAACGAGGAGTACGAGGATGAATGGATAGGCGAATACGGGAGTCACCCCGAATTCACCCGGTGCTCGATTTTGTTACGGCTCTGGTGGTCGCAGGCTCGTCATTAAGAGGTATCTTTACAATCTTCACAAAGTGATGGTGAGCGCGGCTTTAGCACTAACCACGACAACGCGCTGGGCTCAACTAGCTTGATTATGTCAAAAAAGCACAAGTGCAGAGACATCGTAAGCATCATTTTGCCAGCTGTTCACGGAGGCAAACAGAAGCACATCTTGAATGGGCTCACCGAAACATTTCAGCTCTCAGCATTTATGCGCGATTGACACGCAGTGATGGTTGGAAACCGATGCAACTGTCGCAAACCGCACGCATCGCCGATTCTATTGCACGCTAAATGTGATGCATGCATACTAAAACTCGTCTTCGGTGACGATCGGGTGAGCTGCGACGCTCGCAGCTTACGGTTTTAACCATGTCGTCATATTGAAATTGTCTGAATTTGTTGTTGCTTGTCCGTGCGTGATTTAGGCTGTGATCTGCATCATTCATTTCGGGGTGGGAGCGAATTGCGTGGTCTAGATTGTATGGTGCCATACTGAAGATCTGTCGGACAGTGTACCCGCCTCGTTTCCAGGCTCCACTAATGGCGTCATGTCAGTCGGTCAGTGTTGTTTATTGTCAGTGTTCATGTCAGTTAAATCTGAACTCCCAACTTGAGCTTAACGTTAATCGGGCATTTACCACATAACATTGCACCCCAATTGGAATACAAATGTAATGCAAGCAAAAACTGTTCAGGTCCAAAGGGACCCAAAGCAATCATTCCAAAAGTGGGAGCTGCTCCTCTAATTGAGGCAAGACTTTTGCAACTGAACCTTATGATCTCCAAAGAACTCAATAATGCATAGCTGGCAGTACAAAAAAAACTTAATTTCTGTGTTGAAAATTTTACCGGAATAATTATAATTATTTTACACCATTTAACGCAATAAGCCCTCTTCGTGACAACACGCAGCGTCTCTCCGTCACACCGTGACGACACGCAGCGTCTCTCCGTCACACCGTGACGACACGCAGCGTCTCTCCGTCACACCGTGACGACACGCAGCGTCTCTCCGTCACACCGTGACGACACGCAGCGTCTCTCCGTCACACCGTGACGACACGCAGCGTCTCTCCGTCACACCGTGACGACACGCAGCGTCTCTCCGTCACACCGTGACGACACGCAGCGTCTCTCCGTCACACCGTGACCTGACTACCACCGCCCCGGGCAGCCAATGGGCGTGCTCTCCATCCTGGAGGAGGAGAGCATGTTCCCCAAGGCGACGGACAAGACGTTTGAGGACAAGCTGAAGACCAACCACCTCGGCAAGTCGGCCCTGTTCGTCAAGCCGAAGCCGCCCAAGCCGGGTCAGGTGGAGGCGCACTTCGCAATCGTCCATTACGCCGGCACGGTAAGTTTGCTATCCGACGAATCAAAATTTCATGTCGATTTTTGAAGATTTGGGGCGGCTTATTTTTGCCTTATTTTTCATTGCCATGCCATTTTACTCAGGACAGCTTTGAGCGCATTTGGTCGGCGCAATTATGTTTGCCTGCTTTTTCAATACGATGCCATGCTACTTAACACATCTTGTGAGCAAATTTGATCGACGTAATAAGGTGAAGCAGTGATGTTCGTTTTAATTACGGCAACGAAACAAAACATTGGGTTTTTAATGCAGTAGAAAGCGGCGCTTTGTTGCAGGAATAATAAGCTGGGCAGGCGGGCTCCATGTCCTTTAACATTCTTAAAGATATTTTTACCTGATGCCTATAATGATTTTTCAACACCCTCCCCCCTCCCCAGTCGACAGCTAAATTCACTCATCAAAATACCGCAGAATTTAATCATGCCTAATCAATCACTACTGAAGCCCATCCACAGCAAATCCCGAGCAATCCGCACGATGAATGTTGTTCCAAGCTAAGTCATCAAACCGCTCCATAACCGATCGTGTTTGCTGACCACGTCACTAAGTGCTGCAAGCGTATCGTCATTCCCCGATTGGTGGGGCGCACTCTTCTTCCATCGCATAAAGCCAGGTACAGCAGAGGTTGGCTCACAAACAAAGAGCCTGCTTCAAGCATTTCATGAAGAGTCACGGACCTATAAAACCCTCAAACGTGGCGTGTTGACTCACTCCCCGTGCGCCAGGTGGCGTACAACTTGGCTGGCTGGCTGGAGAAGAATAAGGACCCGCTGAACGACACCGTGGTCGACCAGTTCAAGAAGGGCAAGAACGGCCTGCTGGTGGAGATCTTCGCTGACCACCCTGGCCAGTCTGCTCCGGCGGAGTCCGGCGGCGGCAAGGGTGAGTCGTCGTCCTGATGTCACACGAGGTTGAGAGGGTCACGATCTCGGGGAGGTTTGTGGGCAGTGACGCAGCCTCCTGTGATTGATTTGGGAACAAATTCGTGGGGAAAAATGGGATCGTGATCATCGTGAGTCAAAAAACCGCTGTTACCCTTGATGCCGTTGAGCAAATGTGACGTTCATCCGAGTCTGGTATGGGGAGGGCAAGCGCTGAAGCAGCCGCTGGGGGCATCGTTCTCAAAGGAGTCGACTCTCAGTATCCATCATCACGTGAGTCCATGCGTCTCGTAAAGGCCATGCCATTACGCTTGACCAGTGTCTCATGTGTGGCATTGACACAGCCAACAGCTTTACGCCACCACATTGCGTTAATTGCTGGCGAATTATTTTTTTTTAGCGGAAGCGCCGGAGCGGAATTCTTCCGAAACATGCCTCACGTACGGGCTTCAACTGGCGCAGGGGAGGGGGTTTGGTTGGTTGGGGGTTGGACTGTTCTCCGTCACCTGCCGGTTGTTTGTCGTTCCTTGCCGTCTAACCCTCCGAGCTGGCGTTCACCTCAGGTGGCAAGCGCACCAAGGGGTCGGCCTTCCAGACCGTGTCTGCGCTCTATCGGGTAAATCTGTCGCACCGCCGACGCTGGTGTTAGCCTGCAGTGCGGCCGCGCAGTCTCCGCAGCTGGGGAGTGGACGCATCTCTGTCACCTCATCGCAATCAGACCATTTGTCGCTAGCCGGCACAGCTGGCGGACGGTCAGTCGACGCTCTTGTTGGCTGTGCGTCGACGAATATTGCGTTCTGGGTCCCGTTTTCGCCCGGGGCGGCATCCAAATTCGAAGCGGTGATCGACGCCTCACAACTGCTGCGCGGTCCGCACTGCAGAGCCTCTGCAGGGCCTCTACAGGGCCCCTGCAGGCTTGGACGACGCTGGTCTGAGCCGTGCTCGCACGCTCCTCAGAGCAGCGTCGTCCCCGCCGACACCCGGCTCCGAGCCGGCGGCGAACAGGCGGCCCGCGCTCGGAGCGCCGGCGGCCTGTTCGCCGCCGGCTGATGTTGCTGCTGTGACGTGTGCTGTGCTGACGCGCGCTGACCTTTGACCGTAGGTGGCCGCGGAAAGAAGGGTGGCGGCTTCGCGACGGTGTCTGCCAGTTACAGGGTATGATGATCCCGCTCCCCGCACCCCAGGACGTCAACAGGCCGGTTGGGAACTGCAACGTTTGGACACAAGTCAACTCAGATCGTGTGTGGAAGAATCAAATAAAACGTGTGGACACAATTCAACTCAAATCTGACGAACGATTAGATCTCGGAGAGTCATACCCGAATAAGTTTCCCAAGTACCTATCTTTAGAAATTGGAAAGGGCAGCGTAAAATCGCCTCACTAGGGATTATCCGACATCTGCTGAAATGAATGCCTCAGTAACTTATGCTGCCATTTACAGTTGCACTAGGTGGAAAAATATAATGTGCCAAGGGTCTTCATGAAACACCTTGTTAGGAACTCCAGTAAAACTGTAGGACTTCTCCCGAATACGACTAGCGTCCCTCTGACGTCACGCCCTTTGCACCAATAGGAGCAGCTGAACGGCCTGATGAAGACGCTGCACGCGACTTCGCCTCACTTTATCCGCTGTATTATCCCCAATGAGATGAAGGCGCCGGGTAGGTGCACCCATGAAGCCCTGGAATGTCGACTGCTCCGAAGATGGGAGAACCCTGACGTAGATCTCCCCCAGATCGCCCCCCCCCCCCCTCTGCACGGTGCCTGAGGCCGTGATCGGCGGGCGACCCCTCCCCTCCCCCCCCCCACAGGAAGCACGCGAAGCCTGACACACACGTCAGCGGTGACCCAGTATGGAATGCGAGGCACGAGCCCGTGTTGGAATGCGGAATGCGGACCCGTAGCAGGCCTCTTCCACAGAGGGCGGGCCGACGGCTCCGTCGCTGCTGCGCGGGGCCGGTGCACCGTGGAGGCCTCGCATCGTGTGCCCACGTGGCCCCTCCCCCGTTACCCTACCCAGCTCGACTTGAGGCTGACTTTCTGCCGAATGAGAAGGTCTTGCTCGCGTATGCAGGCGGTTCGGATTCGCTGAACTGTGGCGAGAGGACCTGGTGGCTTCGGACCTTACAGGCCTGTCTGCGGTGCTACATTTTGCTCACGCATCTTCGGTCAATAGCAGCTGACATTCAGCTTCGCACCTGATAGAGATTTTTCGTGAGATGGAGTACACCCAGACAGGCTATTTGCTCCTATGACGGGCAGGGATATATTCCTGACACTTAATTCATGTCAGTCTTCGCTGCCGGTGTCCTCTCGCCACGTTTGGCTCGTTCGTATAGCATAATTTATCTGTAATATATCATTCGAAAGCATGCTGATGCCTTGGTGTCCATGGCAACGCCCTGTATGCTCCGTAATCAATACGTTCTTACCCCGCGCCTGAATTCATGCTACCACAGGCATTCGGCCACTCTCGGAATCCTTCCAAGCCGCATCAGAACACTTTCCAACCTCGACTAACACATTTCCGATACGCCTTCGAGTTAATTTTTACAACTACTAGTCCTTCTTACAAACACTACGTCTCCTCAGCACAGCGTCCTACGTCCCTTAGTCTAACAGACAGAAGAAGCCCGTAGTCGTTACACCCTATAGCCCCCCGGAGTGGGCCTGGAGCTGATCTCATCACGCAGGAGCACACTCCTCACCGCCCCCTGGCTGGTGTTCTAGGATCAGCTGAACGGCCTCATGCGAACGCTGCATGCCACCTGTCCCAACTTCATTCGCTGTATCATTCCTAACGAGATGAAGGCTGCTGGTAAGAAATCCCGTGCGTCCCCGCTCTTGTATGCAAATCAAGCTTAGCCACGCCTCCGTGACGTCACATTCATGCGACCCGGCTGCTTGCTTTGCTTAAGATAAGCGCCCGACTATTTCGCTTCAAAATAAAACATTTCTCATTCTTTGCATTTTCAAAATTGTAATCGCAATTGCAAGACTGATGAGCGTTCAATTATTTAAATAAAAAAAATACATTGCTTTATTGAAGCAGATACCTATTTCCAAGATATCTCTGGGCCAGGCCCTCCATGGGCCGTTGGTTGTTCCGTTAGCGTATGATATCAATCACTCATTGCTCTTCTCGTAATAAGCTTACCCCGGTGTACGCTTTCCTTTTATGTTAAATATCCACCCAGCCAAAAGCAAAAGCCATGATGTGCGTTGATGCTGTGCTTTTGTACCATCGCAGTCGTCAGCGTTGGGCATATTGCCTCAACTAACAACATATCGCAGATATGGACACGTACACGCACTTCCCCAGATCAACAAACCCTACTTCGCTTGCGCACATTCTCCGTTTTTCCTTTCGGTTTACAGGTTCTTCTTGAGTTCGGCTACCCCGCCAATATTGCCTTCAACCCCCCCCCCCCTTTGAACGGCGTGCCTCGGAGTGCAGTGACCCGTTTGCTCTCGCATTGTGTGACCCCCGGACCCTGCGTGACCCCACCTGACCCGCGGACATCAGAGCTGCTCTGACCGCGTGACCCATGACCCCAGGAGCAGCTGAATAATCTGATGAGAACGTTGCAAGCCACGACGCCTCACTTTATTCGCTGCATTATTCCCAATGAGACAAAGTCTCCCGGTAAGACCTGCACGTGGTCCCTGCATTAATATCATGCATGCCATTTGCTTTGAAAGCCGTTGACAATCCTGCAACGATGTTGTCCTGTTCTGAGGTTTATGACGTCAGCAATTTTGTGCGGCTAGTTCGTGATGTCTGTAAGCATTGTCATAGGGCGCTTCGGATGTGTTTGCAGCTTCCTAGAAGTCGCGTTTTGTCGTCTACCGCAGGCATTGTGGAGCCGTTCTTTGTGTTCATATCAACAGCAGTTTTTGCTTTTGTTGACGTTTTCCTCGTAAGAACATTTCCTTGAGTGCTGGTACCGCAGCCACCCGTCGTCTTATGCAATGTCAATAATCGTTAGAAAGTTTTTTTTAGAAGGGACCTGGGTGCCGTGCCTCATCGAAGGGCATATACTGTACTGAAAGTAAATAGAACAGATATGACCTGTGTGTGGTCATGTTAAACCTGTTTTTTGATTTTTCGGTTTTGATTTTTTCAAGTTTTCGTCGAGCTGCCCGTCGCGTGAAGCCTCGAGCAATTTAATCCACTAGGTCCATCGGCAAAGTCACCTTGCTATTTTCCTAATGCAACTTTGTATGCATCTTTCATCGCGTGGCGGTCTTCCTCAGTAACTGGCACGAGATACAAGATGTCGCCTAATTGCCGCCAAAAGGGAATCGAACATTTTAACTTTTGCAAAATTGTTGTTCGAGTCAAGATAACGAAAATAAGTTATGTGGGGATCAGGTCCTCCAAAGAAGTTTTAAAACTTTTTTTGAAAGAGCCAATATCATGCGCTTATTTTCTGCCCCTATCAGATGCGAAATAAAACAAATGTTGTCGCTTTCCTGCTCTTTTGCTCACCAGATGGCTCAGGAAGGCCAAGGCGCCGGGTCCTTCCACTGCGGCAACGCTGTCACGTGGTACAAGCCTCCGAAGGGCGACGCAAATAATATACCTAGATGCAAATTCTGACGCCATCGACTGAAATTTAAACCAGTCTTTAAAGTAATAATATTTAATATTTAATATATTATTATATTTGGTATTATATTATATTATATCATAATATATTAATAATAATCATAAATAAAACTTAAAGTGCAGTTAGCTCCTTGGTTGCGAAGATATGGCAGCTGTGCCCCCCCCCCAAAAAAAACAAGTGATGCCCAGTGCGCCTCATTTGTGAAAATGCTCCAGCGTTCGCCGGGCCATTAACCTTTCGCCGGCCGAATCCCGGTTAGGGTCATGGCCCCTGAGCGCTAATATGACCCATGCAGGCGCTGACGCTCCATACAAGGATGCCCGAAGACGCGCGCGGCGCTCCTCTTTTGAACTAGAAAGGTCAGCTCCACAACTCAAGGACAGTTCGAAATAGCTGTTGACTGTGCTGAACCGCATGGGCGCTGACCTCGACTGCCGCTGTCAGGCGTCATCGACTCCCACCTGGTGATGCACCAGCTGACCTGCAACGGCGTACTGGAAGGCATCCGTATCTGTCGCAAGGGCTTCCCCAACCGCATGGTGTACCACGACTTCCGTCACCGGTAAGTGGCGAGGTGTTCTCGGCTGCGTGCTCGACTGCGTTCTCATGCGCGTTCTCATCCGACGTCGCGCTGACTGCCCCGGGGAGGAGAGAACAATGACGTCACGGGACCCATGTGGCAGCGGGGTCAACACTGAGGACTGCGGGGACATTACGCTTCCCGTTTTACCGAAGTGAAATTTTGAACCGCTCTCTGCTGGTTCATAGAATTAGGAAACTGATTAATCAAAAATCAAAATCAGTTAAGTTTTGCGCATTCTGGAAAAATGCGCAAAAAATTAATGCTGTTACGCTGGCAGTTCATCAATTTCGTCATCAAATTCATTTTCGGCGATGACGAAGAATAATTTATTTTGACATAGACATGGCAACAGGGGCCCCATGCCGTCAGCGTTTGCTGTGCGACGTAGAAACGGATTGTGTTGGCCTGTGGAGGCATCTTCGTCATTATCCAGTTGTGTCTTCAAATATTTACGATAGGCGCGGGTCGTATATCACTGTCTCTGATTCAGGCGGCGAACATCGTTCACTTCCACTGGCGCGAACCCAATCAGCAGTTTACATCGTGGCTTATTCAAGGTTGTGAGTCACGTGCGGGCTGGACTGGGCCGTGTTGTCTTGGCACTCACCTGCTCCGACCTCAGGCAATGCACTGACCTCTGTCGCCCACTGCTGTCCGCTCAGCGGCGGAGGTGCCTGATGCCGCCGGTCGGACAAGGCGGCATCCCCGACTTCCCCGTGGTTTCGCTGTCTGTCGTTGTGCTCGGACTGTCTGCCGCGAGGCGGACATTGGTGTATGCGGCCGAACGCCCCCCCCCCCCCCCCGCTCTACGGCCGAACGCCCCCCGCATTACGGCCGAACGTCTCTCATTCTGCGGCCGTAGCGTCTCCCATTCCTCGACCGAACGTCTCTCGTTCTGCGGCCGTACATCTCCCGGTCTGCGGCCGTAGCGCCTCCCGGTCTGCGGCCGAACGCCCCCCGCTCTACGGCCGAACGTCTCCCGCTCTACGCCCGAACGTCTCCCGCTCTACGGCCGAACGCCTCTCGTTCTGCGGCCGTAGCGTCTCCCGTTCCTCGACCGAATGTCTCTCGTTCTGCGGCCGTACATCTCCCGGTCTGCGGCCATAGCGTCTCCCGTTCTGCAACCGTAGCGTCTCCCAGTCTGTGGCCGTATTGTCTGCAAGTCTGCGGCCGTAGCGTCTCTCGGTTTGCGGCCGTGGCGTCTCCTTGCTGTGTGCAAATGCGACCGCGGTCATCCACTTGATCCCTGGACCTCGGAAGCGGACGGTGCGCGGGATAACTCGGCTAGGGCACTGTAGATAGGCGATCCTGGCTGCGCAACTGATACACGGCACGTGATAACTCACCCGGGGCGCTGTAGATACGTGATTCTGGCACCGAAGGAGATGAAGGCGTGCAAGGAGGGTCGGGACGCCTGCGACAAGTGCATGACCATAATCCAGATGGACCCCGACAAGTTCCGGCTGGGCCTGACGAAGGTGACCGGACTGGGTTGTCCCTCCCACCACCACCGCACGGGCGGAGCTTGCGCAGGCGTTCCCCACGCCTCCTCGCCGTATGGTGTACCCTGCAACCCAACCCTCCACCAACGCTCGGTTGTCTCTCTGTCTTGTTTGCATTCGGAACGACCTGCAAGCTCTCAGGATGGTTGCAGCCGACGGGGAAGCTGACCAGACTGAAGGTGACGCCTCAGTCCCCCCCCCCCCCCGCCCCCCCCCCCTCTGCTCCCCGACTCCGGATGGGTGGCATGCCCTCCATCAGGGGGCAGCGTGACTCAATGCCAGGGGCGGCGCAGCCTTCCCTGAGGCTCCCGAGCGGACCTGCTGGTCGCCCTCCCCTCCCCCCCTCGTCGATCCCCGCATCTGATGAAGCAGATCGTCGCGCTGGCCAAGCGCACCGCTGCACCCGATGTCTGTGAGCCTCCCGCGAGTGAGGACAGAGAGCCTGGAATGTCCCCACTTCGGCGAAGGAGGGTGTCAGGCACAGCTGATCTCTTTATCGCTGTATGCCTGTTCCCCACCCCCCCCCCCCTTCCACCTGTGCACAGAGTGATCCGTTTGCAGATGCCAATCTTCGTAGAAGGCACATGCGTGTTATGCCCAGTATCGCACACTCTCTCTCTTTGCCCCTTCCCCCCCCCCCCCCCCTATAAACTCAGGAACGTGTTCGGCGTGACCCGCCCGCAGGAGGAGACGGAGAAAATGCGACCGGTATGCTCTCTTCTCCCCCCCGCCCCCCCCCCCCCAGACACCCACCTGCCCCCCCCCCCCCACCGTGTGCGGCCACAGCGTGACCCGCTCTTGACCCGTGCAACCTCAGCTGACCCGCCGGTCGGTTCGTGTGAGCTGACCCCGTCTGACCCCTCCGCCCCTCCCAAAGCTATGTGATCCTGGCACCCAAGGAGATGAAGGAGAAGAAGGAGGACCGTGACGCCTGTGACGTCTGCCTCAAGAAAATTGACCTTGACTCCGATAAGTTCCGTCTGGGGCTTACTAAGGTAGCGTGGCCGCTGGTCCCCATCTTGATGGATCTTAATCGCAGACCAGGTTTTCGTCCTGCGGCTGCCGGCAGCGGCGGAAGTTTTCAGCGTATTTGTATTTTTTGCAGATAGTACCCAGAATATATATATATATATATATATATATATATATATATATGATTATGTCTTGCCGTTTTCCTGTTTGTTTTTGCGCCTTCGTTGCGAATGAGCTTCAAAAGGATCACCAGAAAAAAGGAATTATATGTCGTAACGTAAATTACTGAATACAAGCTGTTTTGTGAGCTTAACTCACACGGAATGAACTAATGCGTTTTTTGACCTAACATCCAGTGACCTGGCTACTGTGAGTCGATGTCTGGTGACCTGACGTGAGGTGACCTGGACCCCACGTGCCCTGCCCATCGACCCGACCTCTGGCGGTGTGACCTCAGGTCTTCTTCCGCGCCGGCGTGCTGGGAGACATGGAGGAGCTGCGAGATGACAAGCTCAACAAGATCTTCTCCTGGATGCAGGCGACCATCCGCGGCTACTTCGCCCAGCGCGAGTACAAGAAGCTGCAGGATCAGCGGTACGTCTCGGGCCGGGGCGGGGTCGCTGAGGGCCGCCGGCTCCGGGTATAAGGCAGGGAGGAGGTGGTAGGGGGGGGGGGGAGCTGCTGTCACGGACCGGGCCCCGGGTCTTGCTGCCTGGATTGCGACGTTACTGGGCTTGGTTTTGAATTGGTCAGGACCAGGGACTAGGACGGGACGGTCCGAGACGGTCCGACTAGCAGAACAGTTGAGTCAACTTGTCTTTGGAGGGATTTTCTCGAACTGGTGTGATTTGGACCCCTCTTCCTCTTTTCAAAGACCATGTTGATCATGTCAACTGTTACCTTCTCCCCTCTCTGCCTCATGCAACTCCGATGCAATCCGGAGGTGTAACATACAACGTCATGTGCTTGCCGGAGTTTTCCGAGAATTGTGCGTACCGTACGTCGCCTCGAGCTTCCGTCTTCATCCGCAGCGCGTCGCTGCTGATCGTGCAGCGCGCCGTCCGCAAGTACATGAAGATGCAGGGCTGGGCCTGGTTCCGCCTCTGGATCAAGGTCCGCCCCATGCTCTACGAGACCCGCATCGAGGATGAGCTCAAGGTGGGTCACGCGAACTGTCCCGCCGCTACGGCTGCGGTCGGAGGCGGCGCGCCTCACTCGAGGGGTGGGGATGAGCGGCGGCGGCACTGGACTCACGCCAAGTTGAGCCGATGTCTCCGCGGCGGGGGCCCGGGCGTCTATCTCTTGGCGGCTGTCTGTCCGACGTCGCGGCCGGGCCATGTTTCCGTCGACGCCGAGGTCGCCTCCGCCAGTCTTCCGTCGTGCACTGCACCGCGTCCCTGATCAACGGGCTGGTGCCCGTCCAAATGATTGCTTAGGACAACAGACGGCGCCAATTTCACCTCGCCGGAGCTAGTCGCACCCGGAAGGGCAGGCACAAACAAACAAAGGCAAGGCGAGGCGACGATGGATGCATCACCGTGTCCTCGATGCAGCACCAGGGGGCGCGGAGGCGTGACTTTCTGGCCGAGCCGGGGCCATAAAGCCGCACATCAGACTAACAAACACGCGCACCAAAGCCCCGCTCACTCGTACATCATCAGTCGCCGTCACACTCTCCGCCATCGCGCAGCGCCCACTTGATCCGCCGGCCGGCCTTTGAAGGCAGACGAGTAACCCAAGCCGGCCGGCGGCTCTCGAAGCCATGACTCATCTGGCAGTGGCGGCAGAGCACGTCAACCGCGCGGCTCACCAGAAGCCAGCCTGCCTCCCGGCCGACGGCAGCCGCTGTTTTCTTTGCACGTGCTCTCGCATGCCACGTGCCGGGGTCTGTTTTCACTGACGCCCGTCGGTGGCGACGACCCCCTCCGGCTCGACCGCGGGGGGAGGAGGCTGCCGGCGGCGCCCACCCGCGGTCGCCGCTGTGGCCCTGCACGCTCGAGCCCCTGAGGCCGCTGCGGGAAGGGGGGGGGGGCGTCCATGCACACAATGACCGACTGACGGACGGTGAAGTGGTCGGCACTGGACCGACGGTGGCCCTCTCGCGCCGCCCCAGTCTGAGTCACGGCCGCGGTGGGCGAGCTATTTTGGCCCCGGGCGCCGCCGACCGGCCGGTACAACGCGGAACCGAACACAGCCGTCTAGGTGGCGCTGATGGCGGCTGGGGCATGCCTCGGTGACGCTGAGGAATGGCACACGATGCGTGCTGTGCCGCTCCCAGGCGGTGCAGCCGGGCCAATGCGTGACGTCACCTGAAGTCACTGGGTGGTTAGATGCTGCCATGTTGAAAGACACCGCTGTTGGGCGTGTAAACTTTACTTGGCTCTCTACGCAAGTTTATGCTGATGATGACCGCACTGAATGATGCACCTGGTTAGAAGCACAGCGACGGGCTAGAGAGAAGCACGCTGCTTGCGACGGAGAACAAACTTGTTTATTGTTCTGGGGAAAATACGGTTTCCGGCGGATTTGATATTTATTAAAACATTGCACTCTGTTATAACATCCAACTTCAATGTGAGAGACATCTTCGACATAAAGCTGGTTAGATAACCATTTGCCCTGAAACATTCCATCTCTTCAGTCGATTAATCCTGCCACCGAGTACCAGCTTTAAAAAGCTTCGTTCCAAAAACATATTGTTCTGTTTCAATCTTTGCACTGATTCCCATCGATTCACGCGGAAATTCTCCACCGTGTCCAGAATCGCACACGCATGGAAATATGGCATTATTCTATGAGTCTTCTGGCTATACGCCACACGCCCTAAGTATGCCTGCCCAAAAGATGCCGAGTTCAACCAAATCTAGTCCCGCTCTTTGCCAGATGACCACAATTTTGAATCTAACTCTTAAACGATTGGAGTGAGCTCATCCACTAAGCACTACAAGGGGCGACGGTCTTGGCAATGACGGACATCCCTTTAGAGAACACCGCAGCTGGAGCTTCAGGAGTCTCATCAGGAGGCCCAAACATATATGAAAAAGATACTAAATGCCAATAGATAAATGTGTACCAAATAAATGCTCCGAACAAGAGGTATTGTTTTGCCCCGATGTGATAATGCCCTTAACAGGAGGACAAGGTTGTGGTCTTGTTTAGCATTTATAGCTGTTCGTTTGAAACGGCTTCAAAAATTAACGGGGTCCAAACAACTCCGGGACAGGGGCTGGGGCAAGGCATCGCGCGAAGCCAAACAGACCCCACCTACGGCCATCACGGTCAAGCGCACGCCACCTCCCCTCACGAGCACGCCCGTCCCCACCCTCCAAAAATGGGGCCCCGCCCCAGGCTGACTCAGCCCCCTGGTGGCGGCGGCGGCGGCGGCGGCGGCGGGCGCGGCGGCCCAGGCCGTGCGGCACACTCGTCCCGCTCTGCCGGTCGAACGGTCCGGAGCGCAGCGCCCGAGCTCCTGTGTCGGTCCCCTCCCCTCCCCGCCCAGCCATGCTGCCCGATATCAAGGAGTTTGAGGCGGGCGTCCGCGAGGCCGTCGCCCGGTACGACGAGTGGTTCAGCCAGATCGATGGCCGCAGAAAGGTAACGGGAAGGCGGCGGCGAGGCGGCCGTGCGTCTGTGGTTTCTCCGGAGTGTGGCTGTTCGGATTTGCCGTGGGTTGTCGTGGTCGCGGGTTGTCGTGGAGTGTCGCGTGCTCCCGAGTTCAGGCGGAGTGTCGAGTGAGCAGCGCGAGTTGGGTGAGCTGATGGTGGTGCGTCGTGCCGCCAGTCCCTCCCACGACTCCCGCCGTCGTGGCATGGAAACATGGATGTATGCAAGGTGGTGGCTTGAATCAAGGACGGAACGGACTTTGGCGGATACTCCACATCGCCTACCTGAATTCTGCTATTTAAAATTCAAAACTTGCCAATTTTTAAAATATCGAAGATGATTTTCGTGTAAATCCATGACTTAGCGAGAGGTTTATTTTTGCCATTGTACTATCGCTCCATAAAAACCTTCAATTTGCGAACAATTTGAGAGGTATAGTCCGTATTGCACCACAATGTGCCGTCCATACGTTCCGTACGACGCTGTCTGTTCTTTAGATACAATCATCAACTCATCAGTTTCTAGTTTGGCCTTCATCTTAGACGACTACTTCAATTTGGGTAGCATTCAGTCAACTTTAAGCAGTATGCAGTTCATGCGGACATTTTCGGTCGGCTAATATGGTGATCTGAACTGGTTCATTTCTTCTGCTCGAAGGGTTTCATTATTTGCCACCGATCCCTCCGTTTGACTGCTGGGACCAGAACAAAAATTCCCTACATCATATCAGTGGTTACGCAAAGGTAACATAATGTGGTTGTGCTTTGAAAATCAGCGTTGTTTCATCTGTTCACCACGCCGTCCAGTGCTATGGTGGTAAACGATTTGAGTGCGGTGCAGTTGCAATGGCAAGACCATTTTGAAGCCACCCTCATACAGTGCGCTGCAGTGGTGCAAAGGCCTTTCCGGCAGTTCGGTAAACAAATTATGCGGGTTATTCAAATGGGTCAGTTTGGTTGCGAACAACTGTGGATTAATATCGTTACGTCTTTTTTTGCTGTTTGGTGTAGAAGTTTTGTTCTCGCCAGTACTTGTAGCCTGCGGGAAGATTCTAAAAATGAGCATACGTTAAACAGTTTGTTTTGAAGCCTTTTACGGGTGTTGAATATTTTCAAGACCACAAAACTGCGTTTGGCTTGCCTGTCGATAAGGTAAGTGCAATGACCTATCTCCTGGCTGAAATGACCTATCTCCTGACCTATCTCCTGGCGATGCATGCACTAGTCCCGTCTGTCTCGTGAGGTCAAACGCACTCACGCTGCACCTAAGTTGGCGAAACCGCCATCCGCACGAAGAACACCTTCCCAGCGGAACAGCCCAAACGGAATGTCAACACCAGACATAAATCGCGACGGCTGTCCTCATGTGGATAAATTATCCCTCGCATCACGTTTGGAACGTGTCGTTCAAACATCCCTTGTCAACATCGCCCGACAGCTGCCAGCGCTCTGCACGAACCCGGCACCCAACTCACCCCCGTCCGCAGAGACTGGAGGAGGAGGCGGCGGCGGCCACCGCCAAGCTGGACGTGGAGCTGAAGCAGCGGAAGGACGCCGAGGAGAAGAACATCAAGCTGCTGCAGGAGAAGAATGAGCTGGTGTCCCGTCTTGAGTCGGAGCGCGGCTCCATGGGTGATGAGATCGCCAAACAGCAGAAGCTGCAGGCGCAGAAGGCCGACCTCGAGGCCCAGCTCAATGTAAGTACAGGCGTCGTTTGATGGCGGTGAGCTCGTAGCAATTTTCTGGTGCTTTGGCAGCCGTATGCCGGTCGCCCGCTGTGTTCAGCTGTCGACGGCGTACCGGCGACCTTCTGGTGACCTGCCGATGACATGGTGGTGAGCGAGTGGTGACGTGTAAAAGGTCTATCGGGCACCCACCACGGGTGTGGTTTATAAACATGCATTATGGGAGTGTGGGGCTGAGCAGAGAAAAATAGCTAAACGTACGCTCAAAATGTAGAAAATACGTCGCTCTTGTCGGATTAGCCCCCTCTCTTTTCAAAGTTAAGGGGCTAGAGCCCCACTTCCCAATTGAATAGTAAACTACATCCTCACGATCTAGAGTAAGCCTAGACATGAGTGCTGTCCACCGATAGTTTTAGTGACCTCTTGATGACATTAATGGCATAACGGACACTTAAGTGACCTGATGTTGACGTTCTAGTGAATCGACGGTGATTGATCACATCACTGGTCAATATGACTTCTGAGTGATGCTCGGAGCGCGTGATTTATCTTTATTCAAGACGCTTGTGCTACGCAAATAAGACACGTACCGGGCTGGATAGACCACCTGTGCGGTGTCCAATCAAATGATGTGCACACGGGCGTGGTATTCGCGACTGCAACGGTCTTGCAATTGCAAAACCGACGGAAGTCTATGCCGACTATTCGGCCACAATTTTTGATGGAATAAGAGCATCTTTATGTTTGGCTGATTACCGTCGAGCAGTTTAATATCACAGCTGTTAAATGATGTGATTGAGAGGCTGAGAATGTCAACCGAACAGCCTGGTTCCCTCAACGTCATTGCAGTCACAACACCTGTCAGCGGATCTCGCGCTTGCGTGAACCGTCAACAGATGTCACCACTGTCACCCGGCGGCTACCGTCCCACAAGCCCTGTCGGGAACCCTGCTCCTCGTGCAGTTCTGCCGACCAGGACGCGTCGCCAGCGGCTGCCGAGCCGTTGGGGGCGACTTGCGGGCTCGTTTATCTCAGCGCCCGTCTGTATTTGAAGTCGCGCATCCGGCGATAAACAAGCAGCCGCCGGCGGACTGCCGCGGCTGTCAGCCGGCCGCCGCGGAGCAGAATCGCCCGCGGCGTTTCCCCGATCGCCAGTGGCCGAGGCGAGCGCGGCCGCCGAACAGTCGGCTTCGATCATTCGGCGCGGGTAAAAATAGTGCCGGCGGGTGGCTGAATCACGGCGAGGCTGCGAGCCGGTATTTTCGGACGCAGTCCGTGTACGGAGGCCAGTGCTCCAGTTTCGCCAGCGGGAGCGGAGCGGCACCTCCGAGCCGCCCGCCGGCGGCGACTTGGGGCGTGGCGGCGCGTCGGGGGTTGCCGGCACGCTTCAAGAATGGATGCCTCGTGTCTGACAGCAAGCAACTCCTTGGCCTGAAATGTGGCAGGCAAAGGCCCGCTGAGTGAAATGCAGCCCGGTCTCGCAAAAGGTGGCAGTAAAGACCCGCAGAAAATGGTCGCCCCAGGAGGCACTTGGTTAGTCGCCAGCGCTGGGAATGGCTCACCGAAAGACGGGGTCTTGAAGTTGCCCTTCCCATGTCATGCTGACGGCTAGCGTTCAAAAGATGTCGGAAGCCCATGATGAGGCTGTCAAATCGAATCACGGGGTTTTATGCAGTCCCTCAGGCGCGTCAGCCTCAGTGATCGGCACCGATGAATAAAAAGCTGAAATTCACAGTTAGCTTTTGGCAGTGTCGTTATACGACAGCGAAAAATCTATTGGCGTCACATTTTGTCGATAACAACATGATGAGGCCTGCCAAGAACACGACAAATCGCTTTTGCATTAGCGAAATGACGTGGCCTACGATCAAGGACATCTTCATGGACACGCAACTGGCGGGCGGGAGCGATACATGATTAATGCGCTTTTAACCGTAAGAACTCATTCGAATGAAAGTGAAAAAGCTAAAAGAATAAATGTGAATCAGTGCGTATGCTAAAAGAAAGAGTTTTACATAAACTTGGATGTGACATCGCAACGACTTAGACATCTATAAAGTGGGGACTTTTGGCCCCAGTGTGCGTATAAATATATATATATATATATATATATATATATATATATATATATATATATATATATATATATATATATATATATGCACTACCTTGTTATTTGATTGATCGCTCCTTTTCTCCATCGTCCTTTGATACACATACATCCAACCTATTATGACCTACGTGACATTTGCTGCCATCTGTTCACTTCCGACATGAGTGAACTCCTCGACCTTTGATCTTACCTGACTCTTGCTGTGTGCCGACCACTGATCCCCAGGACGTTAAGATCATGAGGACATGCATACGAACTCCACCATACCCTGTGCTCACCTTCGACTTCAGCTCACCCTTTGTCCGTTCCCACCTCTCAGCAGGCCTGTACTCACCTCCCACCTTTGTAGGCCCCTGGCCTCAGCCCCTCTCATCGGTCCTGATCTTTCATCTAACCGCACTCCTCGCCTGGCCGGTCCACACCTGTGGCCTGTGCTGACCTTTGACCTGATCTCGCCCCTCACATAGCCGGATCTCATCCCTGACCTCTGCTGACCTCTGACCCCAGGACGCGCAGGAGCGGCTGGCCGTCGAGGAACAGGCCCGCCAGCAGCTGGCGCAGGAAAAGAGGAAGGTGGACGGCGAGATGGGTAGCATGAAGAAGGACCTCGATGACATGCAGAACAGCGCCAAGAAGCTCGAGAGCGAGAAGACCTCCAAGGACCACCAGATCCGCACACTCAACGACGAGATCGCCCAGCAGGATGACGTCATCAACAAGCTGAACCGCGAGAAGAAGCGCCTGCAGGTGGGTGACGAGGATGATGTTCAGGGCCAGCGACACGGGGTGGCTATTGGAATAGGGGAGAGGGGGGGGGGGGGACGGAGGCTTGCTCATGGGACATAAAGCTTATTAAACGCTTGGGTATAGCCTCAGTAACGACACATGTGAATGCTGCATTTCTAGATTGTCTTGTTGCGTCCCACAGTTCTCAGGATTCTGCTCTCAATCGCCATCAAGCCTCAGCTGTTGTGTGTTTAACGGTGGCGAATACCTGGAAGCGAAGTTGGACGGTGGTGTTCAGCAGTCGTACAGCCGTTTAAGCTGGCAAATTGGCCTGTTTTTTTTTTGGCGGTGGTCACACTCTCTTCGCATGACAATGTTTACTTATTTTTGGATTTGGTGTTGCCCACATTTCCATGGATTAGAAGGCGTTGTTAGACACATCGACCTTCTGCTTTTTATTCGGCACACATGACCAGAATGGCGAAGCCAGAAAGGCTTCATGGTGTTGGAAGTGTCTATGACAGTGACGTGATAGCCCGGCTAACTCCACATCTCTGACGTCACGCTCGTGCGCCTCTTCCGCAGGAGAACCAGCAGAAGACGGCCGAGGACTTCGGCACGCAGGAGGACAAGGTGAGCCACCTGACCAAGGTTAAGGCCAAGCTGGAGCAGACGCTGGACGAGCTGGAGGACTCGCTGGAGCGCGAGAAGAAGACGCGCGCCGAGATGGACAAGTCCAAGAGGAAGGTGGAGGGTGACCTCAAGCTGACCCAGGAGGCCGTGGCCGACCTGGAGAAGAACAAGCGCGAGCTCGAACAGACCATCCAGCGCAAGGACCGCGAGATCGGCCAGCTCTCCTGTGAGTGCCGCCCACGCGCGAACCTCCTGCGATGCCGGTGACGACCATTATGACTTCAGGCCGGTTTGGATGTTTGGCCATATGGCGCCCAAGGAAATCCTCCAGCAAAGGGTGTCGTAGATCATGTTGTGCTCTGACAGGTTGCAACTATAACTGCGTTCTTACAGAACTATTACCCCCCCCCCCCCCCCCACACCGACCTGGGAAGAAATTCATGTGTTCAGCACTCTTCACGAGTTCCCGATCGTTCCCGGTCCACCACTGAGCTCCGACCTCAGCTCATGTAGCATGACCTGCCGTGACATCCCCGCCCCGCACGCTTCAGCCAAACTGGAGGAGGAGCAGGCGCTGGTCACGCGTCTGCAGCGCGTCATCAAGGAGCTGCAGGGCCGCATCGAAGAGCTGGAGGAGGAGCTGGAGGCAGAGCGCCAGGCGCGCGCCAAGGCCGAGAAGCAGCGCGCCGATCTGGTCAGTCTCGACCGCTGCTTATAGATTATATTTGATATATATATATATATATATATATATATATATATATATATATATATATATATGTCTTATGTCAAAGATAATTTATATATATATATATATATATATACCCCGGTTTTTCTCCGAAGAATAGGGCTATTACTACTGTCTTATCTATGTGAATAATGCTCCTCGCGAATGCACTGAACAACTTACGTAATGTTCAGCGGCGTTAGTTATTTATATGCGCGGCGTCCTTGCTTGCAGACGCCCGTTTAGTGACGCCTGTAACCGCTATTGTCGGTGGACTGCAGCTAGGGGGGTTATTTTCTAAAATCGGTTGGTAGCTGAGCAGATAAAGTTGTCCCAACCTATTACGATCCAATCGTAGTTTGCTGCGATCTCTCCACGCATTCACAAATCGCGCAAGTTACCAGCGCCTATTGGTGGCATGTTGATGACGTTGATGACACGCTTCCAGGCGCGTGAGCTTGAGGAGCTGAGCGAGCGCCTGGACGAGGCAGGTGGCGCCACCGCCGCCCAGATCGAGCTCAACAAGAAGCGCGAGACCGAGATTGCTAAGCTGCGCCGTGACATTGAGGAGCAGGTACTGACATCTTCCGGGTGAAATGGAAACTATTGTTTCGGTTTCCATGGTGGTGGCTTGCGCTCACTGGGACCTGTCGGCCAAGCTCAGTTTAAAGTTTGAAGCATACTAATGCGGCAAGCATCACTGAATCAGAGGGGGGAGGGCATCTGTCTCAGCAGTGACAGCTTTTAAAATGTACTGTAAAGTTGATTGCATGTATAATGCAAGTTTTGAACTTGTCATGGCATCCTGAGAAAGTGCCTACCACTTTATGCACGTGCCTACCACTTTTTCATGGTTTTCCAGGTAATACTAATGCTCTTTTCTTAAAAATTCTAAATGCAGGTATATTCCTGTTGAAAAACATCTTTCAACCTGTCATGAACGCAATCGGTGAAGAATGACGCCACTCGCGCGCTGCGACGTCACCATCGTGCCTGTGTCCGCAGAACATCCAGCAGGAGACGACCCTGGCTGGCTTGCGCCGCAAGCACAACGACGCCATCACCGAGATGGCCGAGCAGATCGACCAGCTGAGCAAGGCCAAGGCGAAGTGAGTGCCCCGCGCGGGTCCGGCACCTCGGTCGACTCTAGCCTCGGCGGGAGGAGGCCGCTTCTGGGGGAGGCGGGCGCGAATGCTCCTAAAATATTGAGGCGGGTAGTGTACGGTAGTGTAGTTAGGCTGCTGTCAGGCAGCCAGAAGTGGATTCAGCTACGACTAGGTCTGATGTGGTAGGTAGTAGTCTACCCGTCGAGTGAGCATATCCCGCCCGTCGTACCTTCACTCGAGCCTCTGAGCCAGTGTAGTACATAGGTTTGACAATGGTTCAGAGGGCTTCCTCGGCGTAGATGAGACGGAGAGCAGTCCGCTCTTCGCATTTCCATGCACGCCTGGACGATGCCCGGCGCAGTGCAGAGACCGCACCTGGTAGATGTTTGGATTGCGTGTCGGGTGTAGTTGGGCGGTGCGTGTCTGCCTCCTCACTGCGCGCGCCGCCGTCCAGGATTGAGAAGGAGCGCCAGGGCTACACGGCCGAGGCGCACGACGTGCGCATGGCCATTGAGCACATCAACAACGAGAAGGTAGCCGCCTTGTCCGTTCACCCCCCCCCCCCCGCCCTGCCCACAGAACCGCCGAGCGGAGAGACCCTCGCGTGGAGTGCCCCCCCCCCCCCGCCCTGACCCCCTGTGGATGTGGTGACGTCACCCTGTGAGCGGCTCGTGCCCGGCCGCGACCCTGGCGGTGCCCGGTCGCGACCTTTCGCCCTCCCCGGTCGACGTCCCCCCTGCATGAGTGTGACCCCGTTGCAGGACCGAGCGCGAGGGCGACGCCCTCAGTAGCGAGGCTCAGGAACTCAGGCTCGCGCTCGATCAGACCAACGCCGAGAAGGTAGATGGCGCTGCCTCCGCGCTGTCAGCTGGCGTCGCGCCACAGCTGACCGTGCGCTCCAACTAACGCCTCGTCCAGGCCGTTTTCAGATCTCCCGCCGCCTTTTTGTGCTGGTGATTTTTGTTTTCCAGTTTTTGGGAGGTGTATTTTTCAGCATTTTCCTTTGCGCCTTTCTTTTAGCGTAGAAAGGCACACGCACGAGCTTCGCGGCGAGGCTGAGAGTTACCGAGAAGCTTTTGATCGGATAAGACAGCTTACGGTAAACTTCAGCTCTTTTGAGCGCCGAAACACCTGCAACACAAAGCGAGCCTGCATGCACGCTTGCACCTGGAATGCGTTTGACTATGCTGCTGTGTGCAAAAATGTAATCTGTTTTCAGGATTTCGGAAGGCGTTTTCGCTCTTTTCCAGCTGATGAACACCACTTTGTTTTAACGTAACTTAACCGTGCACTTTTGTGTCTTTTTTCTAGCGTACTTGTGGATGCGCTTTATTGCCTATCTTTAAACGCTGATCCGGGTAAACTGACTGTACAGCAATGCGGAGAAAAGCTTCTCACCATTTATGTCTTAACAACATCACGCAATTGATCGAACTACGTCACTAAACGTTTGAAGCATGTTTCCTCACAGGCTACCTGCCAACGCTGCTCGATCTTTTTTACCATCTTCTTGTGCGGTAACAGTGTTTGTACGCGATCTAACGGCATACGCTGGTTTGGTGTCAGAAAATATGCATCGTCGCGCTCATCAAATACGCTCTAATGGTATTGTTTATGGGCAATTGCCACACATTAACCTTTGGACGAGGAGCACACACACGTGCCAAGCTAGAAATAACGCGGGGACTCGGCACAGATCAACACAACTAAACACGAACAGTGCGCATCCGCTGCAGCAACAACTCCCGACCAAAGCGCCCACGTCGATGCACGGACGAGGTCGTGCAGTATCGCTCCACATGGCGCGGACCCGCCCGCTAACTAGTGTTTGCAGGGCGCGGCCGCCGGCGCCGGCCGACCACTCGTGCCGCTGCGCACGCATGACCCGTCCGTGTGCACGCCAGGCGACGGAGGAGAAGCAGACTAAGGGCCTGCAGGACCAGCTGACCAACCTCAACGGCAAGCTGGAGGAGGCCAACCGCACGCTGGGCGACTTCGACACGGCCAAGAAGAAGCTGTCGGTTGAAAACGCCGACCTCCTGCACCAGGTCGGCCGGGGGCATGGGTCTCGGGGGGGGGGGGGGGGGGGGGGTCACCGACAGTCGTCTGGATGTGGGTCGCGCTGTGATGTTGGCGTGTGTGGAGGGGGGGGGAGGGGTCATGGATATGTGGCGTCGCGGCGAGAATGATGTCTATTGCAAGGGGTGGAAGTAATCGCGGAGTTTTCCTGGAAAAAAGCAAGCGCATACTTAAGTGCTTTGTAAGGTGCGAGCAGCAACTCTTTATGTGTGCTGGTGACGTAGTCTGTGGTAGGGAGCTCGGACCACGGAGACCGATATGTGTGAGACAAACTTTGCTGAGAAGCATGCCGTGACCCCGAGTCGCGGCCGGTCAGGCCGTTCTGCGTTCTGTTGGCTGGCCTTATAGCGCCTCGCGCCACCCGCCGCGCTGATTCTGCGCCACCCTTGCTGAGTGATTCCTCCTGACCTCCTGCCCGCTGACGCCCACACGGACACCATCGCTGACATCTCCGCTAACGCCGGCAGCTGGAGGAGGCCGAGTCGCAGGTGTCCCAGCTGCAGAAGCTGAAGGTGACGCTGCAGTCGCAGCTGGACGACTGCAACCGGCTGTGCGACGAGGAGGCGCGCGAGCGGGTCACTATCCTGGGCAAATACCGCAACCTCGAGCATGACATCGACTCCATGCGGGAGCAGGTGGGTGCGGTCATCCTGATCTGCCAGTCCTGCTCGACAACGCCCCGGTCTGGTTTGGTTACTTGTCGACGATTGGGGGGAGGGGGAGGGGAGGGCAATGTCATGAACTTTTCACTCTTGGTGAGAGCTGAGACTGGAGAAGCTTTCCTGCGGCGGCATTTGAACCCTTGATGCCTTGATAGGGAAAGGAACCTCTTTTAGCACTCGGCCGTTGGCAGAGTGGTGGGGCTGGTGAGGGTAACGGAGGCGGCGGTGGACAGGGATGCGCCGGTCGACTGCCAAGGCGTGGTGATGGGGGATTCGGGTCAGGAGATCGGGCTGTCTGGAGAGGATGATACTGGAAAGCTCGTGAAGAAAGGCCAAATTCACAACTTAGTGATTATTAGCTACAGGGGACTGGAACAGTGTGACCCTGTAACATGAAATCGATGAGGGTATTTTGGGCGGGAGCTGTAAAGGACAAACAAGTAAAACGGGCTACGAAATGTGCGTTCTATGCGTTATCGGTGGTATGCGAACTGAAACCGTTCATAACAAGCAGATTTATTACCTGCGTCATTGGCGAGAAAGCATGAAACCAGTTCCCGATTAGGACCTTAAATTCGCACTTGTAGATCTGATTGGATCTCAGGTGACCGACTAGACATCCAATTGGTCCTCATATGCCCCACTGGACTTGATTGGACTGCGGTCGATGGTCACACGTTTTCATTGGCCCACAGGTGGACGAGGAGGCTGAGCTCAAGTCGGACCTGGCTCGCCAGGTGGCCAAGGCTCAGGCTGAGGCTCAACTGTGGCGCAACAAATACGAACAGGAGGGCATCGCCAGGTGAGAGATCGCATCTGGCAGCGAGCCTGAACAGAGGCCACATCTGGTAGTGTAGCAGTGTCCGCTGTGATCTGCCGACTGCACTGCCAGACGCATCTGGTAGCGCAGCGGTGTCTACCATGATCAGCCGACGGAGTTTCCTGAACTGCCCTCGTTTTGTAAATGCCGTGTGGCGGCTTCCCAGTGTACCACGTGGTGTAAGTCGGTGTGAGCCTGCTGCAGGTTACGAGCTCTCCTGTCCCTGCGTGATGCCGTCGGCCAGAGTAAATTATCCTCCATCAGCGGCCTTTCCATGCGTTATATGTGGTGGACCAAAATCTATATGCCCTGAATTTCGTTACTTATTTCCTGTCCATGCATTAGCGTCTTATGCCAGTGAAGCAAGGTGTCAACAACAACGCATCAGTCTTGACCCATCAAAGGATGCCGACCAGATGCCCTCCTGACCCGGTGACACGAGCCAAAACCCCGTGAAACTAAGCCCGCGGCACCCATCATGACCCCGTGACCTCGTCGCAGGGCTGAGGAGCTGGAGGAGCAGCGCCGCAAGCTGGCCGTTCGCCTGCAGGAGGCCACCGAGCAGCTGGAGGTGCTCAACCAGAAGAACATGAGCCTGGAGAAGATCAAGACCCGGCTGACGGGTGAGATCGACGAGATGCACGTGGAGGTGGAGCGCGCGCAGCAGCTGGCTGCCCAGATGGAGAAGAAGGCGAAGGGCTTCGACAAGATCATCGCCGAGTGGAAGATGAAGGTACGTTGGGAGTGTGGCTGGTTGTGGACTGTGTGTTGGTTACGTTATGGAGAATCTTCTCTTATGTTCGCGATTTTGTCTGTTTACTATGGAGAAAAAAATGTTTTGTAAAACATCTCGGTAGGTTGCAAGAGTGAGCAGGTCAGAGGGGCGATTGGAAACTACGGCTGAGGCGAAACGTATCTCATCTCATTGTTTCTTTTTTATCTTTACACGTCTGATGACAAACGCATTCCCTTCGCCCGGTCACATCTGCCATCTAGCGACTGACCTTCAACACTAAACACCGCCCGCCCGCCGGCAGGTGGACGACGTCGCTGCGGAGCTGGACGCCTCGCAGCGGGACTGCCGCAACTACAGCACCGAGCTCTTCCGCGTCCGGTCGGCGTACGATGAGGGCGTCGAGCAGCTGGATGCCGTGCGCCGCGAGAACAAGAGCCTGGCCGACGAGGTCAAGGTGAGGTCAAGGCCATGCCCGAGCCACGTGATCGGTCTCCGATTTGAATCCCGCTGTCCTTGAACGGACGCTCAGCTGGTACGGTAGTCTGACACCGCTAGGATCGCGTGTAAGTGGTGTCAGAACCTGCCTGTAGCGTGAAACTCCACCGCCAGAAACGTGGTCCTCGAAATCCCAAGTGACTTGCTGAAGTTTATGTTGTTTAGCGGGGGTTCATTCTTTAGTGACAATGCTTGTTCACCTATGATGAGCTGACATGCTATCTTGATTGCCGGTTGCGCAGCTACCGCCATATATGATGACGCTGCGCACCTATAAATATGATGCGCAGTGTGCTTATCATCTACAACGCTTTTCGCTGTCATCTGCTTTGAGAACGTGTCTGTATATCACAAGGCATATGTGCTGTGCCCTCCAGGACCTGATGGACCAGATCACCGAGGGCGGCCGCAACCTGGCCGAGGTGGAGAAGCTGCGCAAGCGGGTGGAGCAGGAGAAGGAGGAGCTGCAGTCGGCGCTGGAGGAGGCCGAGAGCGCGCTGGAGCAGGAGGAGAACAAGGTGCTGCGCGGCCAGCTGGAGCTGAGCCAGGCGCGACAGGAGATCGAGCGGCGTATCCAGGAGAAGGAGGAGGAGTTCGAGAATACCAGGTCAGTAGGGTCGGAGCCTGGGTGAGAACGTGGGCGGACAGGGCGGTGGGATTGATGGCTGGATGTGGGGAGACGTGAGGCTGAAGGACACAGAGGGTTTTAGTATGACTTCGTTCGGGCGTTTTCTTCCTCACATATAGGTTTCTATACGTCTGATTACGTTTAAGAACCTCACCGCCTAGGTTTCACCAACCCAAAGAACTATCGTTTCGTACAAAGACCAAGTATCCAGGTTTCGCCCTGAGATAACTTCCATTAATGCATTCGCATACCAACACAGTTCTTCGGAAGTACCAGCAATCTTTGACGCGCACGGGGCGAGAACAGCTGATGAACTGTTCGGGTACGCTAGCATTCGTCGTTCCCCTAACGCCGCCGTCTTCTCTGACGCCATCCAGGAAGAGCCACCAACGCCAGATGGAGTCCATGCAGGCCTCGCTGGAGGCCGAGGCCAAGGGCCGCGCCGAGGCGATGCGGATGAAGAAGAAGCTGGAGACGGACATCAACGAGCTGGAGGTGTCGGTGGAGCGGGCCAACATCGAGACCATGGAGAGCCAGAAGACCATCAAGCGGGTGCAGATGGAGCTGAAGGACGTGCAGGTGCAGCTGGAGGAGGAGGAGCGCGCGCGTGCCGAGGTGCGCGAGGCGCTGGGCATGTCGGAGCGGCGCGCCAACGCCCTGCACGGCGAGCTGGAGGAGAGCCGGACCCTGCTGGAACAGGCCGACCGCGGCCGCCGACAGGTCAGTCTGACGACGTCACCACAGGGCTGAGGTCAGGGAGGGCAGAGGCAAGGAAAGGAAGAGGACGGGGGAAACAGAGGTTACTGGGGCAGATATCAGGGAGAGCAAGGGTCAGGGATGACAATGTCAGAGAGGGCAGAGGTCAGAAAAAGCAGAGATCAGGGAGGACAGAGGTTGCTGGGACAGATGTCAGGGAGGGCAGAGGTCAGGGATGACAGAGGTCAACGAGGGCAGAGGTCATAGACGGGTCAGGAGAGTAGGCCGACCGCGTCCGCCGACAGTTTAGTCGGCCGACGTCGCAGAGGAGGCTGATGGTAGCAGACGGCGGTCGGATGGATGCAGGGAAGTGGGGTGGCTGGTTGACTCGGTTAATGTGATAACGGTTGTGTGATGTCACAAAGTTATTTGAAATAGCGACATCTGCCGTTTTTGATTGTCAGGTGGCTTCGAGCGATAAGTGCCCTTTCGCCACTTACACAATCATTTCCTTTAGCTTCAAAACTCCCATCAGAAACACGGCCTTTATTCGAAAGGAGTCGGACTGCGGCATATCTTCCATGCGAACGCCCAAGCAGACCTGCCGGATCTGACCTCCCCCCTCCCCCCACCTGTGATTTCACAGGCCGAGGCCGAGCTGGGCGACGTGCAGCAGCAGCTGACGGAGGTGTCCAGCAACTACAACAGCGTGTCTGCGCTGCGGCGTAAGCTGGAAGAGGAGGTGGGCTCCCTGCATGTCGACCTGGACGAGATGCTGAACGAGGCACGCACCTCCGAGGAGAAGGCCAAGAAGGCCATGATCGACGCCGCCAGGTGAGGCGGGCTCGGAGAGGGGAAGGGGAGGGGCGAAGAGGGGGGGGGGGAGGGCGACAGGAAAGAGGAGAGGAAAGTAGACGGAATTGAAGGTGGCGAGAGGAGATGGCCAGCGGAAACATATACAAAGAGAGATAGCAAGGCGGAGCCGGGGTTAAATGGGAAAGAGAGAGATCTGGGAAGAGATAGGATGGGAGGAGAAGAAATGGATGAAGCCAGGCGCCAGGACTTTAAAGCCAAGATCGGAAGGCCAACGTCGGCATGGAGGAACATACAGGCTACGCTTGTTGAGTGCAATGAGGAGGCCTGATGTTGTGATAAAGAATCTGTGTGTACGCGATAACGTATTGATCTAGATGAGAAACCCCGGCTATCGGTGGACACGTCAGACGCCGTCAAACTTCCCTGTGGAGCTCAGAGTCGCCCCGTCCCCTTTGGAGCTCAGAGCCGCCCCGTCCCCTGTGGAGCTCAGAGCCGCCCCGTCCCCTGCAGAGCCGCCCCGTCCCCTGTGGAGCTCAGAGCCGCCCCGTCCCCTGCAGAGCCGCCCCGTCCCCTGTGGAGCTCAGAGCCGCCCCGTTCCGTCCCCAGACTGGCGGACGAGCTGCGTGCTGAGCAGGAGAACGCCCAGCAGCAGGAGCAGGCCCGCAAGTCCATGGAGCTCACCGTCAAGGACCTGCAGATCCGGCTGGATGAGGCCGAGGCCAACGCTATCAAGGTCAGCTCAAGGACACAACGGATTATGCTGAACAGCTGCCGGTAGTGGTAGACAAAGAGGAACTCCAAAGCAACTTCTCGAGGGGAAATTGGTGACTCCGTCACCAAGTTAGGCTCGGGGGATCTCGGTATGTCTAGACCTGACCTGCTAGGAGCCGACACTTTGCGTTACACTGCGTTATGCTTCAGCGGACAATGAATGCAAGCTGTGCTCATAGCCTGGCTATAAGAACTACGATGTTAAGTAAAATGAGGGCCACATATGTTATCGGTAACATCTGCGGATGACTGATCACGGAAAATTAGCGGAGCACGACAATTCTTTCAGCGGCCCGGCAAGGGACCTCACCACGTTCGATTGCATCGTTCTGTATCTGGGCCACCGGCCTGCTGCCCCCGCTCGCACTCGGCCGGCGCCTCCGGCCTGTGCCACCTGGCGGAGCTCCGCTGACCGTGCTAGCCGCCGGGCCTTTGGCGGCGATCCGACGGCCGTGCTCTGCCGTCCACAGAACGGCCGCAAGATCATCGCCAAGCTGGAGGAGCGGCTGCGCGCGCTGGAGTCGGAGCTGGACCACGAGCAGCGCCGCCACAGCGAGGCCTCCAAGAACCTGCGCAAGGCCGACCGGCGCATCAAGGAGCTGCTCTTCCAGGTCAGCCCCCCCCCCGCAGAACGTGGGATCTGTGGTGTTTAGCTTCACCTCCCGATCAGGCAAACCAATGTCACGGGCGGTCACGGTTTGAATCGTATTTCTACCAGTTGAGAGATATGGATCGCTCGCAGCCGTTGGGGTAGGAAAAGACAACCGATGATTGCTGCCTTGCAGTACTGAGGACTTTTACATTGGTGTAGTAGGTCATGTGATATCAATGGAAATGCTTTTGCGACCGACCCCACACATTCGCCGAGAAGCTCCTACGCGTCTACACGTATCCGTTTCGCGCCTGTGCCGACGCTTACCCCCCCCCCCCCTCCCGGCCCCCTTTTCCGCCTGTCGACTCCGTGCTGATCTCAAATGTCTGGCCGCAGGCGGACGAGGACAAGAAGAACCACCAGCGCATGCAGGACCTGGTCGACTCGCTGCAGCAGAAGATCAAGACGTACAAGCGGCAGATCGACGAGGCGGAGGAGATTGCCGCCCTCAACCTCGCCAAGTACCGCAAGTGCCAGCAGGTGCGTGCCGCCGATGTTGCCACCGTGTCGCGCCAGCGATGGGCTGCGGATAGTGCGCGGGAAGGATGTCTTGGTTTTCCTGCGGGGCGCAGCCTCTTTTAATTCGTGAGGGTGGAAAGCCAAAACAAATTTCGAGAATCATCCATTGGCTTTTGCTCTTTCGGCTCGTTAGTGGATTTTCGCATTCGAGCCTTTCTTGCAGGCTGAGGGGAAAACGCATTCGGGCGATTCACGATCCGGCCCAAAAAGATAAAGAGCTTCACGCATGCGCTTCACAGACCGGAAATTATGCCTAGGGGTAGTCAAATAACGCACGGGGTGTGCGCACCTTGCGCGTGATTTTCGGAAGCTTTTAACTGGGGCCGATTTACTCCTATATGCTAATGGTTCGGCTTGAGGAACTTTGAAGCTGCTCAGGTGCCGCCAGCCAGTGACCTGTGCCTTCTGTGGGCTAATGTCATGCTATGTTGATGGTGTATCTGAATTGCGTTGCTTGTTTGCGGTATCCTTTGCCATGCCGTGGTCTTTCGCTGCCGTTGGAAGACCTCGATACGTCAGGAGGTCCGACTGTAACCCGTGACCTCTGACCCGTATCTGACCTGCCCCGCCCCACCGCAGGAGCTCGAGGCGTCCGAGGAGCGCTGCGACATGGCCGAGTCGACGCTGGCCAAGTTCCGCGCCCGCGGTCGTGGCGCCTCGGTGGCGCGCGCTTCCAGCCCCGCCTACTAGATGGCAGCCCAGTCGACCTGGCCGGGCCGGCCCGCCCCCGGCCGCCCGGCCTGCTGCGCCCTTCTCATTTCATTGTCCCTAGGCGTTCTGTCCGTCTGTAGAGTGCCAGCTACGCTGCCGCGTTGTACCTACATGAATAAGCAATCTTCTGAATAAGAAGGTGCTCGAAAACGGACGAAGCGTTTGGCAGAGACTGTGAGGGTTGAACGAGGGAAGGCCAGAGGATGCGTGCGTTCCCGCCTTCCGCACGGATGGAGGAGGTCGTCGCGGAGGTCTTGCTCACGCGGATACACACGCACGTAACGTTCACGAGCTCGGATAAAAAACAGAACACACCGAGGTCTTGTTTAGACCGGTGATGAACTATCCTACCAATGGTGATTGAAATTGGCGACCAGGGACTGTTCGAATGCTTGGGATGAAGATCGTGGGTCCGGAAACCCAGTCTCTTTCCAAATCTGCATTGCTCAATTGGTAATTCCCCACCTTATTTCGACGAACATTTCTTATTCTCGGGCCATTTGTAAATTAATCCTTTTTTGAGCATCATATGAGTCTTGGCGATCATAATGTGCTCAAAGAAGGCGAAATTAATGTGGTAATTAGCCATTTTCTCAATTTTGCAAACGTTCCAGCACAAAAACCAGTTGGATGGTTTTTGCTGGTTTTACAGGATGATGGCTAATGCTGGTTTTACAGGATGTTAAAACCAGCATTAGAGCCCAAAGCAGCATCGGGAGCGAGAGGGAGCCTTACAAAAGAACACAGTCGACAAACCCTGCTCGTGGTGACAGCTGGAAAGCTCCATACTATCTATCTAACAAAACCATATAGAATAGCATTATCTAACTATGCAAGGATTCACCTGAAAATGTACTAGACACGTTCTCAGTAAAATTTCATGTGACACGTTCTCTGCAAAAACTCACCTGACGATGTTTTGGACACGCTCCCTGTAGAGACTCACCTGACGATGTCTTAGATACGTTCTCTGCAAAAACTCACCTGACGATGTTTTGGACACGTTCTCTGCGAAAACTCACCTGACGATGTTTTGGACACGTTCTCTGCGAAAACTCACCTGACGATGTTTCATCACCTGACGACGATGGAGCACGTTCCTATAATAACTCACCCGACGTTGTTTTGGACACGTTCCCCGTCACGCAAAAGCCGTATCAAACCACAAAATGAGTGCGGCGGTGTATTAGAACAGGGCAGCTGGTTACATAACGTTTTGGTGAACAGCACACCTGTTGCCGGAATGAGAGGAGCCCACTTGCGCTGCTCCGCCGCGTGTTTTCCCCATACAGTAGGCCGTCCGTCAGACGATGGATCGTTAGACTGACCCGCCATGCATGACGGCCATGCGGTCGCACGCCTCAGCACATGCAGCACGCGATGGGACCCGCTGCGACTGTGTCCTGTCCTCAGTTCAAGGATGGTTAGATTTCGCATCCAGAGCGTGGCTTTGTTCGATTGGGAAAACGTGCTAGCAAGGCCAGGGCCAGCAAAGCTCCAGTTTATAGGTGCGAGTTGCACATTTCTGACAGAAAACCTATTAATTGTCACGTCAGCCACAACGTCTATATAAACGGTCCGTTTACTGCCGTGTAAAATGCACGCATGTGTATCACACTAGAAATCACATAATGCATATTTGAGGTGCGATGCATATAGATATATAAAGTCGAAAGATTTACAAAGATCCAAGACATATTTGACAATAAGCCAAAAGATCCAGCAAGAACCAAGTTCCAGCCTGGAACATGAAGAGATCCACGAAAAACCAAGGTATATGTGTACACACACACACACACACACACACACACACACACACATATATATATATATATATATATATATATATATATATATATATATCCCTGGTCCTGTACAGTTGATGAAGTAAGAGAAACAACATTGATTCATCTTTTTAGAAAACCGTCAAATTCTAGCTCTTTGATGCAACCCCGCCACAATGAGATCCCATCAACATCTGCCACATTTTGCAGAATGGAACATGAGAAATGCAATCATATATATCTGACTACTTCATTTTCTGCATGCGTGTAATCTTGTATACACACCTTAAACATTCACTTTTGGTACTTGCAACATAATATTTCTTCCAAGGCTGGTTGGGGGAGTGTTTGCAGACATGGGACATTGCTACTTCACCACAATAAACCCATATTCACTGAAATCATTGCATCTTTGCCTCACATTGCGCCTGCCAACAATTCCTTTTATACCGGTACTATCATGGGAGCTCCTCTCCAGCCAAATATGCCCTCAGCACCCAAAAACACACGTGACAGCAAGCTCCCATGACAACAGCTTAGCAAAAAGGCCAGAGAGTACGTGTCATAACACATAACATGAAGATCGATCTATTTCGCCACACGCTTTATTTAAATCCGTTTTAGCCAAGACAACAAAAATTGAGCGACGCCGACCCACGCCAAAAACGCAGATCCCGCTGGATGACCTTGGCCAACGGCCAGTTTTATTTAGAAAATGTGGTTTTTGTGGTCTGTGTGTACGCTGCTCAGCTGCCCGGCCGTCGCTGGTGCCCATTGCTCTGCATCGCCGGCTGCCGCTATCACGCCTCCTCATGATAGCAAATCTATAATGAAGAGAGCAGGGGTGTCAGTTTTTGTAAATTATTAGAGGGCCGGACCAAAGGCCCGGCCTCCTACCGCCCGCCCCCCCCCCCCCATTTTTTCACCGTATTTAGCCGACTATGTTAATTAAACGCAATATATGTTTTAATGTTTGTATGACTTATAAGCCTTTAATTTAAGCAGTACAGAAGTCATACAGGGTTGGATCCAGGGAGCATGCAATGCACGCACGCGTCTCTCCTGATCGACACGTGAAGGTGCCCCTTTGGAGGCCACCTTAGGGCGCCGATGGCGCTCTTCTATGGCAGTCATGGGAGGCGGCACGCATTTTGGTTGTGGGGGACGGGGACGGGGCAAAATGAGTTTTGCTAGCCATGCAAAACTCAAGTCATCCTCATATTCCAGACCTTTTCACTTAAGCCTCACAAGCTATTGCATATCTTATGACGCTAGGTATGTTAAGTTTATTGCATCGTTTATCCGCTCATCTGTTAAGATTTGTATCTTGTGGTGAGAGCATCCACGACTTTTTGTTATGAAAGTAGTGCGAGACGCCAGTACGCAGAAAGATCAAAGGAGATAGTCGTTGTGTTATGATCATCTTTCACCCACGTTTTTGTAGTGTCCCAGCCAAAAACATTGGGGGGGGGGGGGGCAAGCCAACATGGGGGCAGCTCAACATTGGCGGGGGGGGGGGGAGGCAGGGACCTCACAAAAGAATACAAATCGACACCCGTTATGAGGAGCCTACGGGTTAGGATACGAGTTGGATGAGGTTATGTGCACGACTCAGCACGTTATGACTCCGGTGCACCCGATAGCCACACACTCAGGTGAGTCATAGAACTAGGATGAAGGCCGGGGCCGGGGTATTGGCTGGACAGTAGGTCCTGTCAGGCACCATGAACGGCTATCTCCCCATTCACGTTTGTCCGCCCTTAACCATGCATCCCATATCACACGGCATCCCGCCTCCACCGTTTGGCTAGTGATGCTTTTTCAACTGGGAAAAAACGGGACCAGATGCACTGATAAAAGGTGAATGTCCTGAATCCCATAGCATGCCCAAATTGGCGGGGATCCCGCGCAACCCCCATTTCCGGCACTCGACACCATAACCCTGACGTTTGCGCGGCCCTCAGTGAGCTAAATTAAGTTTCATTTAATGCATTTCAGTCATCTGTTGAAGCCACGTCTATGTCTGTTTTAAAACGCATCAAATCAGTCTGTTATCAACTTGGCGCTGACGCGGCTACTGGACCGGCACCAGGTGTATCAGAGCTGGACGACGGCTCGTCCCTTCGCCTGACCTCCAGGATGATGGCTCCCTATTCAGACATATTTACGGACCTGTGGCTCCCTTTTTGACAGATTCACGTCGAGAATTGTGCGCGTTGCAAATAAAGTGCTGTGCTTCAACCCTCAAGGTCCGCCTTGTCTTCCCTAATTTTATGTGGAGACCCGCTCAGGCTATAAAATTAACTGAAACGTGTGTCATCAAGGTATATATACGTGACTGTGGGTTACGGTTCGTTTGCGCCACGTTCATTCCTCGCTTTCATGGCTCGCTTGCCCCCGTGTAATCACGACTCGCTAAAGACCTTAAGGTATCAAATCCGCGTTCACATATCTGAGCACACGGCGTTAATCTGCATGCACGCATTACGACTCCCCTGCACGACGGTCCAAATGATGCAGCTTCCCTTGCAATATAACCCGCCAGGCGCGTGACCCAGACCCGAACCCCGTAGCAAGAGTTTACCCCCACCCGGCCGGTGGCAGCCCATCCTGTCTGGCTAGTCCTCTCCGGTCTCCGGAGACCGCGCCGGTCATGTGAGTCGTTGTTCCCCCGAATGTAACGCTCCCGCGGGTTTTGTTCCACATCCCCTCCTTCCAGGTTCCAGCCACCAGCCAAGTTCGCTCCCTTCTGCGTTCCTGGTCACATCCGTTTTGCATGCGCTATTTCTCGGCCCGGGACATGCCCAGGGCATCGGATAGCGAGCGTTGGCATGCCCCGGGGTGAAGCCTGGCCCTGAGGTTTTGCTGCGATGGCGTTTTGCTGCATGCTGATTGGCCGGGGCTCGGGCTCAGGCTTTCACTCCAAACTTGCCCACAGGCTGCTGGTTGCATTAGCTGGCTCCGCTCCGGTCTGATGCTCTGCTCTGCACGGGCCGCTCGCTGTCGTCCGTTGGCAGTCTGTCGACCCCGGCGAGGCGGACACGCCAGCGGCGTGGACACCGCTCCGCTAGATGCCCCGCTCCCCGGCTGTCTCCCGCTCCGGAGATGCTATTAGCAATTGGGCTGAAGCGCGCCGGGCGTGCAGCTGCCCTTCTGGTGCGGTCTGTGCCCGCAGACGCCTTGCTCTGGAGGATAGTCCGTCGCTGGGTTTTTGGCTTACTTATAGCAGCCTGGCTGCTACGCAGAGCAGGAATTGTAGCGGGATGGGGGAAAGAATATGCACACATACGGTATTATTTAAAATGCAAGCTCCGCCTTACACTAGGAGCTAGCTTTGCTTGTTACAGTGGTGGTATCAAGGCATGCTGATGCACTTGCCTGTGGTGCGTGACCTTAATAATGTGAAAACAACAATATGTGGGTTGCCCTGCGTGACTTGCATGACTCTGTGGCTGAGATGCAAGAGTCAGGATCTTGCAACTATACAAAAATAAGAGACCAGCATTCAAGGTACAGTGCTTTTGACAAAACCAATGACAACCAGAAACCAAGAACGGCCCATCACTGCTAAAGAATCAGAGGGAGCCAGTATCCAGGGTTTGACATGGTCGAAGGAGCCGGTGGAAACCAGGATCCCCAGTTTAAATTCATCAAAATAATCACGGAAAACCAGGATCCAGGATCTTGACTACCGAAAAAAAACCAGTAGAAACCAGGATACAGGGTTTTGTTTTGTCGACAGAACCAGTGAGAACAGGGATTCAAGATAGGTTTTGTCGAAAAAAACCAGTGAGAATCAATATCATTGATCCTGTTTGTCAACAGAACTAGCAGGAGCCAGGAGCCTGAGTTTTGTTTAGTCAAAAGAATCGGTGGGAACCAGGAATCATGGTTTCGTTTTGCTGAAGCAGCCAGTGGGAACCAGGAACCAAAACTGAGAACCAGTTACATGTCCAGATTAATGATAATGATAACAACCATCAGCGTTACCATTACCACCACCACCACCATCACCATCACCATCACCATCACCATCAACATCACCACCACAATCATCAGCATCAGCATCAGCATCACCATCACCATCAGCATCATCGTTATCAGCATCACGGTTATCGCCATAAAGACCATGATTATCAACACCATCATCATCTTCCTCATCATGATCAAAATCGCCATGAGGCATGTCGGCGCATGTATCGCTCTTTCTTCATGAAACTGAACAGAAAATGTGATTAGTGTTGTATGTAAGATATAACGTGATGTAGAAGGGCATCACAGTATAAAAGCGACCCATGCTCAAAAAACACCAACGTTTGCTGAGAAGAGAGAGGTCTTAACATTTTGCAATCTACTGATCACTCCTGGTATGCAAGCCTTACAATATCATGTCATGATGACATTGGGATGTTTTTGTATATTCCCTACCCATTTTTGGGATATTGCATTTGTGTTAAGCAAACTTTGGGCGAAGCCATATGTTATTAAATGTCCCCTTTTTAACTTCAGCGAGTATTGTGTTTGTGAGGAAATCCCGGAAATGGGGAATGTGCTCAGCCTTGACATTACAACCAAATTATTAATTGAGTAAAAACAATATTTGGAATTTCATCTGCCATAATAAGTATAATGCGACTGATTGAGTTAAACAATATTTAGGATTTCATATGCCATAATAATCATAATGCGATTATGAAATAAAATCAGTCAAATGCGCTACAGCAATTTAGTATCATGTATTTCGGACTGTGCAAGACACAACTGGCAGCCTAGAAGCCATGCAAATTTAATACCAAAGTACCCAAATGTGCCCAAATGCGTCAGTACATCTCTGTACCCTTTTCAAAATAAGCGTTTTGATTCGGCAGGGGGACATTGAACAAGCGTGCGGCTTCAGATATGGTCAGTGGGGTTGTCTACGTGGCTGACATTGTGAGAAATGGGGAGAGGGAACATAACCTGTTCACTGCACCAATGTCACTCAACCAACGCTGATCATTGACTGGTGGTCAGTGATCACTGATCTCTTGCCGGGGGTCACTGAGCACCGACCACTGACCAGCGGTCAGTCAACATTGACCACTGATCACTGGCCGACGTGCGGTTACGCGACAGGGGGAGGGGTTGGGCTGTCCGCCGGCGGAGTTCACCTGAGCTGACCTGGAGGACGGCCTCACAGTGACAGGCCGCGCCGCCCCGGCCGGGCCCGGTCCAGCCCGCTCCAGCCACCGGGCCCCCACTACATGCTATCCGAGACACCCTGGCATGCCGGCACCGTGTTGGCCTGGCCCGTGCACACGTAGTCCGTGTAGAAGGACGACTTGATCACGCCATCCTCCATGCTGCGCACGGCCGGATGATCCAGCTTGTGCACACGGAAGATCACCAGCGGGTCGATGGACGTGAAGAAGACCTTGCGGTACATGCGCGCGAACTGCGCGGCGCAGTAGACGTTGTGCAGGTCCCAGATGTGGTCGTATATCTCGATCTGCATGAACGTGCAGCCGGTGAGGAGCCAGAAGGCCATCTGGTCGGTGGTGGGCCGCTGCGCGATCTGCATCACGATCATGATCCGCTGGCACGACGCCTCGGTCGTGATCGTCTGCAAGCTGGCGTAGAGGGTGTCGTAGAGGAAGTCGGTCTTCATGTTGTTCGGGTTGAAGGTGAAGGCAGTTGCGTACTGGTCCTCGGCTTTCACCAGGAACTTGTAGTCAAAGTTCTTGATGGACGAGCGCAGAGGAAGCATGTTAAAGTCCTCGTATTTGTAGCCAGCTGGGATGCATGCGTGGGTGATGGAGCAGCCGTAGCCGGTCTCCACGCGGTAGGTATCAGAGACCGTAGGCGACAGCCATCTACCCAACACATAGCCCATCTGGTAGGCCACATCGCCACGTTTCTGTACCTGCTTTTTTATGTCTGGGTCATCTGACCAGTCAATTCTTCGGATAATAAATGACGATTCACCGTTCCTGTTCATCGTAAAAGCTGTGGCATCGTAGTGCATAACGGAATTGAAGTCGTATGGACAGTCCTGTTTCTGATTCACGTACAGAATGTCGTCAAGCTCCACGTTCTGTCTCATCCAGATGAGAAATCGGTCTCGATCAGGGCGAGAATGTGAATGCGGTAGCCCCAGAACATGTCCTAGTAGATGTATGATGACTGGTTTCGTTTGGGCGACCTCCGCAATTGACAGCAGATGCTGTTTTCTTTCTGGACGGTAGCCCAGGGAGGCGAAAGATAGCTTGCGCTGAACTATTAGCAAAACCTTTTTTTCGCTACTTGACTTGTCCTCCTTGAATTTTATGCAAGGTATGCGCTCACTCCAGCTCTGCATAGCTTGAACAACAACAGTTTTATCCTTAACCTTTTCACTGTCGGAAAACCGATATTTGATCACACCTTTCGGCCAAGGGTCGGCGACACCGTTCATGGTGTTACCGAAGTGAAATCCATAAATCGTCCACCTCTTCTTTTGCACATCGGTCAGGTGCAAGTCTCCTTCGTATAAAGTGAAGTACTTATCCGGCTCAGACTTCCTTAGCTTCTCCTGATCCCACAACTGGTTGATGAATATTTTTTCCGTTGGACTGAAGGTCTTCTCAGCATCCTTTTTCAGGTCAAGTCTGTCTTGCAAGTGGTGCCATTTCTCCAACGCCTCGGTGATTGGAGTTCGCACCAGGGCAAATGCAATCAATATCCACGTGGGGCGTGCCATTCTAATCAAACATGTGGTCGGTAAAAGAACATCTGTCCCTTTTCTAAGGCACAATCGCGACAAAATTTAGGAAGAACAAGGTCTTAGGGAGGAACTTGTACCGTTTTTATCCTGAATTCTAAACAAAATGATGAACTAGGGAGGGAACCGCTCACAAAAGACCAAAGCGTGACGATTTGGGAAATATCCATTGTAGAACCAAATGCCGCGCAAACAACTGAAAACCTTTCAACGTGCAATAAATCTGGTGGGACTTCCAGGCTCCTAGAAATCCTTAACACGCCTGCATAATACAATGCTGAACTCACAGTACGTTAGTATGAAATTCATTTTGATAAACTACTTAGCATCAAATTTGATCAAAATATGTCCAGATGCCACGTGACGCGACGGAGCACATTGCTATGTCCTTAAGTAAGACGCCCGGTACTCCCGCATGGCTTGCATCTATGTCGCTAAAGATTGACGGCGTGAATCCTTTCTTTGCTCACCAGGTGCTTAGTTATTTGTCGCTACCTGTTAAGGCCATCAATCGCTAAAAGCCACTGATATGCACCCGTATATATATATATATATATATATATATATATATATATATATATATATATACGTATATATATAAAAATGAATACCAATATATGTATATACATGTGTGTGTGTGTGTGTGTGTGTGTGTGTGTGTGTGTGTGTGTGTGTGTGTGTGTGTGTGTGTGTGTGGTGTGTGTGTGTGTGTGTGTGTGTGTGTGTGTGGTGTGTGTGTGTGTGTGTGTGGTGTGTGTGTGTGTGTGTGTGTTGTGTGTGTGTGTGTGTGTGTGTGTGTGTGTGTGTGTGTGTGTGTGTGGTGTGTGTGTGTGTTGTGTGTGTGTGTGTGTGTGTGTGTGTGTGTGTGTGTGTGTGTGTGTGTGTGTGTGTGTGTGTGTGTGTGTTTGTTGTGTGTGTGTGTGTGTGTGTGTGTGTGGTGTGTGTGTGGTGTGTGTGTGTGTGTGTGTGTGTGTGTGTGTGTGTGTGTGTGTTGTTGTGTGTGTGTGGTGTGTGTGGTGTTGTGTGTTTGTGTGGTGTTGTGTGTGTGTGTGTGTGTGGTGTGTGGTGTTGTGTGTGTGTGTGTGTGTGTGTGTGTGTGTGTGTGTGTTTGTTGTGTGTGTGTGTGTGTTGGTTTGTGTTGTGTGTGTGTGTGTGTTGTTGTGTGTGTGTGTGTGTTGTGTGTGTGTGTGTGTGTGTTTGTGGTGGTTTTGTTGTTGTGTTGTGTTGTGTTTTGTGTGGTGTGTGTGTGTGTGGTTGTTTTTTGTGTGTGTGTGTTGTTGGTGTTTGTGTGTGTTGTGTTTGGTGTGGTGGGGTGTTGTGTTTTTTTGTTTGTGGGTGGGTGTGGGTGTGTGGTTGTGTGGGTGTGGGTGGTGTGTGGGTGTGGGTGTTGGTGTGGGTGTGGGTGTGGGTGGGGTGTGAGGTGTGGGTGTGGGGGTGTGGTGTGGGTGTGGGTGTGGGGGTGGGGTGGGGTGTGGGTGTGGGTGTGGGTGGTGGGTGTGGGTGTGGGTGTGGGTGTGTGGGTGTGGGTGTGTCACCCTAGACAACACGACTTTTTCATTCAGTTAATGTTTCTCTCTTCACGTCATTGTTTGATTGCGTCATCGCACTTTCCACAACGGTCATTAAGAGCCAATTAACGGCCGTTATGTATGGAATCATGGTCATGGACGCCTGATATGAACAACTCTGCAATTTTTTGTTGATCGCCACATGATCAATGGAATTACATTATTTGAATGACGTGATTATGACGCTATGGATGCCTGGGTAACCTTGAAATAGTGTGCACGAACTAGTCTGCACATCTTCGCAGACGTGTAGCTCAGAAACTAAAGAGTTTTAGGTCTCGTGAAAGGCAGGATTTTGAACTGCACCGAATGATCTTCAAGATGGTTCGTTTAGTTCAAAAACCCCCCACACATTTATTTTGCGATATTTATTTTATATTTATTTAACACACACATATTTATTTAACACACACACATTTATTTCCCGCCTGAAACAACTTCAGATGTGCGGGGATTTTTCTTTACCGGATTCACGCAAATCACGACCATTACCCACACACGCTCACGACTGCAAATTTGACCATAGGCGACCTCTGACCTGGAAACGCGTACATCGACTATCACACACGTACAATGAGGAGGTCAGAGCACCATTGCGCCACACACGTGGATATCACGCTGATATGTCGGAACCGAGATTGGCTGAGAAGAAGCCCATCTGCATAGCTGGCAGCCGCAATATAGCCTCATTGGACACAAAACAACCAATTATAGTGTCAAACCTTGGACGCTCAGGCTCAGAAGGGAGTGAGAATAGCCGGCGGCAGGCTGCATGCAATCGATAAGCTCGTGACCACAATCTGGAGGGTGACCCGCGGATCAACGCAGCACGGGCTTCCCAACCGGGCGCGTCGTAACGGGCGCCGACTTGGTGGCCGTGGTCGTACCCCCCGCGCGTGGCAATGGGTCACAGTGTGGTCGAAATACCCCGCTGCTGACCCAGTGCTCCAGTGGTGAGTATAAAAGCGCCGCTGCTAGGACTCAAAACAGGCAATCTCCAGTCATCAGCAGAACGCTCAGGTGAGTCCTGCCTGCAACGAGTGATAATCAACAGAAAATGCTACGGGTATCTTATGACTTTTCTATCACAGTGATGAGACGCTACTGCCAGTTACGTCATTGTTTTGTTCGTCTCATACTTTCAAGTTATATAAAGAATCAGAGGTGCATTTTACGTAGCGCGGTTGGGGCCTCTACGAAAGATGACTAGGACCCCTCCAGAATAAACCCGAGGCCCCACGTAACGAACTGGGAGCCTCCCAACTCCGCTATCAACGAGGAGGCGCTTCTCATAGTAACAGGAGGCCCCCATGTTGAGCTCCGAGCATTTCAACATTTCAGCCAATGCCCTCTTGCTATAACACGTGAATCCGAACCCAAGGCCAGTGGCTTCAAACTTTGGGCGGAACGCAAGTCAGCGGCTTCCAACGTGAGAAACGTGAAGCCGAAGCCTAACCATCAGTTGCAAATCACAAGGCCGCGACCGAAGCCGAATCTAGCGTACCGCATTGTCTTGTGAAACATTTAATTTCGGGTCTGCTTAACTGCTAGGAAAAAAAATGATTGTGACAGGATGTTAGCATTGTACGTGACAAAATTGTTGGGATGAATTTCCCCGTCTTGTACGCTAGCAGCCAGCGGTTAGCGCAGTTAGTTCCACAGCCGTTGTCAGTTGTTAACTGGCCCCGAAATGATGGGCTGGTGGATGGTTTTCAGGCAAGTGTGTGTCACAGCTGTAGAAAGTTGTGATACGAGTATTGGAATGAAAGGGCTGGCATGCATGTTTTTGTGAGGTGAAGTCGCAATGCAGTGAAAAATTTAATATGACGAAGTCGAAGAGGGCAGTTCAAAACCCCACGGGGTCGAATCTATCAGGGGCGCAAGCAGGGGAGATCGGCTTTTAAGCCCAAGTCATTCAAATATTTTTAGAAGCCGAAATCAAAGCCAGGTATTAAAAAAGATGCAAGGATGGAGCCGATTGTTAAAAATGCACATGTTGAAGCCGAAGCCGAATCTATTGAAGGAAAACTGCAGCTAGCAAAACCAAGCCTAAAGCCGGCCTCGTTCCCATGACCACCGCTCCACAGCATTACCGGACATTTATTGACATTGCAGATCGCATGTGAATGCAGGTAGTAATCTAGGGCACTTGCATAGCGGGGAACATTCCACTGCTGCCACTTAAGATGCAACCGCTTCAATACCACCCAGTTCCCTGAGAGATTTGGAAGTATTCTTTGGTACAAAAGAAATCTCTGTCAGCACAAAAAACTTAGGCAATCCCTCAAAACGCAAGTGCGGCAAATGATACAGGGTTTGCAAATGGTAACAGCCTTGGCACGGACCAAGCGCAGACTCAGCTTTTTTCCGTTACGATTGTTCCATACTTCAACGCAAGCAGGGCTCCACCCAATCGTCGTTAAACCCCTATACCTTAAGTAGGGGGTTGCACGAGATAAGGCCGGGGGAAAGGGGGCACATCCTAGGGGATGCACGGACACCCAGTATACTCGCCTGACTACGCGCCTGTCGAATTTGCCCGTTGTCGGAATTGCAGACCTCTTTGTGAATTGGAAGAATCCTGTTAAAAATTACCAAGCATCCAAAAGCTTGGCATCCAAAAGCTATTTTCTGGCCCAAGAAAACCGGTTTTAGGACTGGGAGGCCCTTGCTGAATCACGAAGTGACATACATTAGTCAGAATACTCTCATTCTGGAACTTAATCTGTCGGTATAAGGCATCAGGTGGCTCCAGGGCTCCTCCTGAATACAATATGCTCAGGAGGCTCCCCTGAGAGGAGGCCCTATTGCCTGCAGGAGGCCTCTCTAGAAAATCTTGCCCCAAACTCAAAATCCGTGGCGTTGCCCCAAGTTGCAGCCTACATCAGTGTCAGATTCATCTCAGCATCTCGCCATCTCGAAATGCCTGTTAAGCAATCGGTTATCGCACGCCATGTCGGATAGGATAAGCCACTGGACATCACTCATTCTTTCAGCCTTCCCTGCAAGTGTTCAAAGTGGGTATTTCAAGATCGGTGGCAATTGCCTAAAGCGATGTTGATCACGCTGTTGAACGCCCTTCTCCCCTGCGACAAATTACGGTGAAAACGTGTGCAACATTCCGTAACGTTCTGCGCTTTCCAGTCCAATTTCTTCCGCCATGAAGGGCGCCATCCCACTGCTGTGTCTGCTGTCGTCGGCGGCGGCGCTGCCGTTTGGCAGGATCGGCGCCAGCACCGGCCTGGCCGAGGGTTCCGTGATGGAGGGGGAGAGCTTTGGCCCGCAGGGTGTCAGCCGCATCACCAGCACCTCGTCTCGCGCAGGGGTGAGGCACCCGGCCTGGAGCTCTCCCCGGACCTAGTGGGTCTCAGCGCCGCACTGGGTAACGTTAGCTCTGTTGACCAACGCTACATGTGGCCAGTCAAAAATCCATGGAACTCTTGTTCTGTGGACGGGATTTAAGCAGTGTGGGTGGCAATGCTGGTTAGTGGCCAAGTGAGCCACGTATCGTCTGTGAGCAACGTTTAGTGATTCAACTTTTACTAGGCCCTGCGACCGTAATGCATGTTTGAAGTGTGTGCTTC